AAGTTTCTCTAGGAGTGTTTGCCTGGTCCATCACAGCCAAAAGGAACTGCATTTCCTGGATTACTAAATCAATACAGCTTAAGTCAACAGGATCAGACTAACTTCTGTGTTTCTGCATCCTTGTCCCAGACAGCTTCCCCCTCGGCGTGCTCCTTCTCACCAGATGTTCTCCTGTTATGAACTGAAGCCAGCTCTGTTCAAAGTGACCACATTAAGGGGTACAGCCCCAGGGAGTCAGGGTGAAAATGGAAATAAGAAAGAAAGCCACACACACGTACTATTTACTAGATAACAAAGACAAATACGCTCACATCCTGTCATCTTGGCATGAATAACCGCAGGAACGCTCTTAGACAGGAGGCCCTGTCAGGAAACACTGCCAAGTCTCTCCTTCCCCTCGCTGGCTTCCATTCTTACCTGCCTGCTGCTCTGCGGGCTTGGGTCAGGGCTTTCCATTCTTCCTGCGCTTGGTAAATCAGCCCCCTTTCAGCCATGATCCCAGTTGGTCTGGGAGATGAGAGAGGTACAAAGCAGGAAAGATGTAGTCACAGGTTTTCCCCGAGACTGTAAACGGGAGAGGCAAGAATACATCCACTGGCCCATTCTCCTTGCTTGTTTTCCTTTTGTGCCTTCCTGGTGATGACTCATGCCACTGCGCTCCGGGCAAGCCCTGCGGCCTCGGTCACCCTGGGACATGTACAGATCCGGGCATGCACTCTTTCTTCTTTCTCCAAAGGGGCCTCGTTGTAGCGTGGTTGAGGCGTCAGCGAATCATTCAGACCCAGTTACACGAAACTTTCTAACAAAGGCCAGGAAGCCAAAGGAGAGGGAGTTACCGAAGAGAGGAGACCCAACAGGTTGTCAGGAGTTACGAAACCCTGGGGCTTGTACAGCCTCTCAGCTGAGCTTTGTTGGGGAGGAGGCTCAAGGGGCTAATTATTCTCAAAAGGTTATTTTGGGGAAGAACGGTTACCTTTTCTTTAGAGAAATATTGCGTAGCCCCGGCGACTCTTAGAGCTGCGTAGAGTCTAAAAGGGTCACCTAGGGTTCTGGCTCTCAAATTTGGTGCCCATTAGAAGCATGTCGGGGTGAAGAGGTGAGGGTAGGGAGGGTACTTTACAGAATTCCGATGCCCAGATCCCATCCCTGTCCAATGAAATCGGGATCTCTGCGGGGAGGGCCTACACATGCGCTGGCTCAACTTCTCCGATGCTTCCAGTGTGCTGCCAAGTTTGAGAACCTGTGAGTGGGGCTCTTACTATTCACTGTGGTTAGTGGAGCTACAGTATGCTAGGGAGCTTGTTAGCGATGCACATTCTTAAGGGTCCACCACAGACCTACTGAGTCAGAATCTGCAGTTTAACAAGATCACCAGGTGACTTGTATGTGCTTAAAATTTAAGAAGCAGTTACTTTTCTTGAAGCATTGGGAAATCTGGTAATACTGGGCCCAAAATGTCTTGACAACTACCCACGGAATCTGTGTAGTAGCTGACTCATATTTATTTTTATTTAAAAATAGATATATATATTATTACTTTTTTTTACAGAGAGGAAGGGATAAAGAATTAGAAACATCGATGAGAGAGAAACATTGATCAGCTGCCTCCTGTACAACCCCTACTGGGGATGTGCCCGCAACCAAGGTACATGCCCTTGATCGGAATCGAACCTGAAACCCTTCAGTCCGCAGGCCGAAACTCTGTCCACCGAGCCATACCAGCTAGGGTAGTAGCTGACTCTTTTAAGAGGTGCCCTCACTCCAGTTTGCTCAAGTCCTACACCTGACCAGGTTCATTAACTTCTGCTGATCGCCTGGGCCCGTTCACCACTATCTAGTTCCAGAACATTTTCATTACCCCCAAAACAAAAGCCTATATTCATGGGCAGTCATTCCCCAGTCCCCTCTTCCCTCAGCCCCTGGCAATCACTAATTGGCTTTCTGTCACTTTGAGTTTTCTTATTCATATATTTCCTATAAAAGGAATGCATGATGTTTTCAAGGGTTATCCATATTCTAACATGCATTGTACTCCCTTCCTTTTATGGCTGAATAATATTCCTTTGTATGGATATACCACATTTTGCTTATCCATCCACCATTTTATAGATATTAGGATAATTTCATACTTTTGGTTATTGTGAATAGTGCTGCTATGAACATTTGTGTCTACGTTTTTGTTTGAACTCTGTTGTCAATTCTTTTGGGTACATACCCAGTTGTGAATTGCTGACTCATATAGTATTTCTATGTTTAACTTTTTTGAAGAATAGCCAAACTGTTTTATAGAGCAGCATTTTATATTCCCACCAACAATGCGTGAGGTTCCAATTTCTCCACATCTTTGTCAATTTACTATTTTGTTTGTTGTTTTTCTTAGTTCTAGTCATCTTATTGGGTGTAAAGTGGTTTCTCATTGTGCTTTTGATTTGCACTTCCCTAATAACTAAGATGAGTATCTTTTTATGTGTTCATCAGTTATTTATATACTAGAGGCCTGGTGCATAAAAATTCATTCCCTGGAGGGGGGGGTCCCTCAGCCCTGCCTGCCCCCTCTCACAGTCTGGGAGCCCTCAGGGGGGGGGAGTGACCCGGTGATCAGGGGAAGGAGACGCCTCCTTCACACCTCTACTGCTGCCACTGCCGGCAGTGCAAGCCTCGGCCAGCACTAGTTACCTGGTGGCCCTGGGTGGCTGGGCAGCCGCCATCCGAGGCTTGCCTATGCCTTAGGCCAGCCCTGGACAGCTGGAGGCTGAGGGGACTGGGAGACTCCAGAGGCAGGCACACAGAGAGGCCGGGCCCGCCTGCCACCATCTTGTGGCTGTGGGCACTGCCATCTTTGAGAGTGTGGCAGTCAATTAGCATATTCCCTCCTAATTTCTGTGGGTGCCACCATCCTTTCTACGGCTTGAGGGTCAATTAGCACATTCCCTCTTTATTAGATAGGATCTTCTTTAGAAAAATTTACTTGAGCTCTTTGCTCATTTAAAAACTGGGTTATTTGCCTTTTTGTTAGTGGGTTGAAACAGTTATTTATATAGGGTGTTCCCCAAAATGTATATATACTTTAATAGCTGATAATTTACTTAATTTTGAAAATGAAATGTATGTTAATAAACACTGACTTGATAATCATTCAAAGTATTTTTGGGGACACCTTGTATATTCTGAATACTATCTCCTTTTCAGATATATGATTTGAAAATATTTTCTGCCATCCTGTAAGTTTCCTTTTCACTTTCTTGTTAGTGTTCTTTAATGCCCATGTTTTCAACTTATCCAGCTTATAGAATTTTTTTATTTCTTTGCTTGTGCTTTTGGTGGTATATATAATTTGAGATTTTATAAACTGGACAAGATAAATAGAGAGAAAGAGGGATCTGAGGATAAAGGCAATAAGAATGGCTTGACATTTCTATCTCCAGTTCAACCATTAGATCTGAACATTTATCTGACATATATATTAGTTTTAACCCACCCGCCATATTCACCAGACCTTACTCCTTCAGATTACCACTTGTTTTGATCGATGGCATATGCATTTTCTGAGCAGCACTTTAAAATGTTATATTATTAACTGGTTAATAACTAATCCACACTATTAGCTGGTTAATAATTAATCCATATTATTAACCAGTTAATAATCTGCATTTTAAACCAGTTAATAGCTAATCTGCAATATTAACTGCTTAATAGTTAATCCACATTAACTGGATAATGATTAATCTGCATTATTACGGTTAATAATGCTGATTTTGTAATCAAAGAAAACATGATAATTTCAAGAAAAACACAAAAGTGCTTTATTCAAAGTAATGTCCATCACTAGCTATATATTTTCCCATCTTTCAGATAATTTGTGGATACCGGCCCAATAGAATTTTTCTTGTTTTCAGGCAAACCATTCAGAGACCCAGTTTTCCACTTCTTCCTACGTTTTAAAGGGCTGCTCAGAAAGTGCGTGTGCCATTGATTGGAACAAGTGGTCATCTGAAGGAGCAAGACAACAAAATGGCATACATATCAAATTGCATATATATCAACATATGTGTAACTCCATCTATTGGGAAAAAAAAAAAATCCTCATTGTTAACCAGTACGCTTAGTATACCAGCTTTGGTACCAGGCGCTGCATTTGCCTGAGATCACACAGCAAGTGAGCGCTGGAACGCAGGTGTTCTCATTTCAAACCTAAGGCTCTGTCCAAAGGCAAGTCAGATCACTCACCTCTGTCTGGGTCTCTCGATTGACACTACTATTACTACCAGCTGCTATCATTCTTGGAAGCTTACTCTGTGCCAGGCATTGTGTTGAAAGTCTTTACATCTAATCTTCCCAACAACCAGGAAGTGGTTCCATGCTTATCCTCATTTTACTACTGAATCCAGGTTAAATACAATAACTTGTTCAAGCCGAAACCGGTTTGGCTCAGTGGTAGAGCGCCGGTCTGCGGACTGAAGGGTCCCGGGTTTGATTCTGGTCAGGGGCATGTTTGTTGATTGCGGGCACATCCCCAGTAGGGGGTGTGCAAGAGGCAGATGGTCGATGTTTCTCTCCCATCGACGTTTCTAGCTCTCTATCTCTTTCCCTTCCTCTCTGTAAAGAAATCAAAATATATTTAAAAAACAAAACAAAACAACAAAAAAACACACCAAAAAAAACCCCAATAACTTGTTCAAGATCTCGTAAGATGGTGTCAGAGCAGGACTTAACCCAGGTCTGACTCCAAAGCCTGTATTCTAAACCACCAACCGAAACTGTCACTTTTAAGGTGGCCAAGTCCAGAAGAAACGATCTGGGTACCACTTTCCCCCCCAATTTATAAACTGGCCGCTATTCCCGGTCCCGCCCCGCCCTCCCGCCCTCCCAGCGCGCAGACTCCGCCCGCCGCTCCTCCTTCCGCCCTCCCGGCGCGCAGGCGCGCTTCTCCTCCGAAGCTGCTCGGGGCGCATGCGCGTGCGCGTGCGCAGGGCTGGAGACCAGGTTCTCTGAGCTTGGAGATGGCGGCGGCCGGGGACGCTTCGCCGCAGCCGGCGACTTCAGAGCAGCCGGCGGAGCTGCCTGCCTCCGTGCGGGCGAGCATCGAGCGGAAGCGGCAGCGGGCGCTGATGCTGCGCCAGGCCCGGCTGGCGGCCCGGCCCTACCCGGCGACGGCGGTTGCGGCTACCGGAGGTTTGGGTTCTGGCGGCGCTGCCCTTTCCCTCCGCTGGGGGTCCGGGGTCCGGGTCCCTTGAGTGGCGTCGAGCCCCCTCGCGTCTGCGCGCACCCCCTCCCGCTGTCCTGGGTGCTGGAGGGTCCGCTCAGGGTCTGGTGGAAGCGAGCTGTCCCAGCCCACAGGACGGTTCCGCGGTAGAACCCGGCTTCCCGGCCCCCCAGGCCCGGGCTGCCCCGCTGCTCCCGGGCCGGCCCCGCTGCTCCCGGGCTGCCCCGCTGCTCCCGGGCGGGCCGGCCGCGGTCCGGAGCGTGGGAAAACCGCTGCACCTGCCGGCGGGTGGGGCGCGCCAGTGCCAGTCAGCTCCTCGGCTGCCCCTGTCTGTTCTCTTCCTGCAGCTTCCAGGTACCAGAGGTGCGGTCCTTGTGTAAAACTTTGAGACCTGCACCATGTCAGCGATTTGCACCTGCTCCCTCATACGTCCTCAAAGGGCGGCTGAGGCACTTTCCGTACCCAGCCAAGGGCGCCAATAGGAGCAGACGGACATCAGCTACCGTCTTTGTGGGGCTAACAGAGTAGCACCTGTTGCGCTTCTTGTGTTTGAAATGAGCTCATTTGATTCTCAGAGCTAACCGGGAAAAGGATTAGGGGAACGTTTGGAATCTGTTTTAATGAAGTGGTTATTGAGGACCAGAAAAGGAAAGAGGTTTGTTGGGATTCATCCCAGCAAGTGCACAGGCTAATCAGCACTGACATTGGGATCAGGTCCCCTCCGCCCCTCTAGCTGCCTCTGCTACACTAGGCATCTCTCGTGTTGGGCTTGAAGGTGCTCAGGCAGGTGCTGCTAGTGCCCGGCCTAGGGCCACTCAGTGAGAGGTACCAGGCATTCTGAGGCGAGAAGTTATTTGTTTAAGAGATTTTAGGAAGGTCCAAAGCAGGTGCCCGGCCCTAGCCAGTTTGGCTCAGTGAATAGGGAGTGGCCTGCGGAATGAAAGGCCCCAGGTTCGATTCTGGCCAATTGTTACCTGCACACATATCTCAGCTGCAGGTTTGATCCCCAGCCCTGGGTTGCAAATGGGAGGCAACTAATCAATGTTCCTCTCATCCTCTGTTTCTTTCTCTCTCTCTCTCTCCACTTCCCTTCTATTCTCTAAAAATCAATGGAAAAATGTCCTTGGGTGGGGATTAACAACAAAAAGCATGAGCCAAGGCAGACCGTTCACATGAAAAAGCCACTGAAAACACCTTGCAGGGGCTCAGAAGTTGTGTGGGGCAGGGCCTCAGAGTCACGAGGGCAGGTTAGACAGTATGAGCCAGGTTATGGAGACTCAGCTATGGCTTGGGCTTGGAGGGTGGGGTTCAGGTCTCAGAAAAGGAACTATGGCTTCTGCTTTTTGTTGTTGTTGTTAATCCTCATGTAAAGATATTTTTCAATTGATTTTTAGGGAGAGTGGAAGAGAGAGGGACAGACAGCGAGAAACAATGGGAGATACACATCGATTGATTACCAACTACGCAGCCCTGACTAGGGCCCGGGCCTAGGCGGAGCCTGCAACCGAGGTACATGCCTTTGACTGGAATAGAACCCGGAACCTTCAGTCTACAGGCCGATGCTCTATTCATTGAGCCAAACCGGCTAGGGCGCACTTTTGTCTGGCAGACAGCTGTTCCCCTGGCTCTGACCCTGATGCCAGACAATTCATTTCCTCCTTGTATGTCCCTGGATTCTTTCAAGTTGCTGCCCCAGCACTGAAGCTCAGGGAGAATGAGTCCGAGTCTGTGCATGGGCCGTTTGAGAAGAATTGCCCAGGACTCCAGCAACCCTTCATCTTGTTCAGCCACAATCCCTGCTGGTTTTTACAGCCAAACGTTATGGGGACTTCTCTTCCTGGCACTATAACCCTAGGCTTGGGGGCATGGTGTGGGTCTGGGACCTCTCATTCCTAAGGGAGGACTTCCACGATTGAGATAATTTTTATCTGCCACACATGGGTGTGGGACCATCCCTTTCTGAGTCTCTGCCCTCCTACCAGTGTCACATGGCTGCTGCTTGATTTCCATTCAGTTAGATTTTAGACAATTTTGAATGATGGTTTTCCTAAACTTTAGTTGTAATTTTGATGTGTTTGTGGGAGGATTCATTTACCAAATTTATCTACATCACCATCCTGACCAGAAGTCTCTAGGTGCTATTTATTTATTATTTAGTTTTTAAATCTCACTTGAGGGATATGCCTTTATTGATTTTAATGATAGTGGGCAGGGGGGAGGAGAAAAAGAGAGAGGAAAAAAAACCAACTTTGATATGAGAGAAACATTGATCTGTTGCCTCCTCTATGCCCCCTCCCCCCCAAACTGGGGACTGAACCTTTTACCCAGGCATATTGCCAAAACTGTGAATCAAATATGAGACCTTTCAGAGTATGGAAGGATGCTCCAACCAACTGAGCCAGCCCCACTGGCCAGGGCCCTGGCTATTATTTTTAAATTGTAATTGTACATTCCTGTGCATGCTCTACATACACAATTAAATCATCTGTGAGTAAAGACTGTTTTACTTCTTCCCAACCTTTATGCCTGTTATGTTGTCTTGTCATATTGCACTTGCTGGAACCTTTAATATAATGTTGGATAGAAGTGGTTATAGTGGACATTTCTTTGCTTGTTTGATATATATTAAATTTAAGGAAATTTTCTGTTTATGCAGAAGGGAGCATATGGGCTTACCTAGCTCATTTGTTGACCACTTTTACTTATTTCTCATAGGCATGACCAATATAAAAGCAGCCCCAAAGATAATTGATACACATGGAGGCTTCATTCTGGAAGAGGAAGGAGAAGAAGAACATACAGTTGGAAAAGTTGTTCATCAACCAGGTAAAGTGTGTTTTCAGAAAATAGGAATCTAAGTGGGTCATTTAAAAAAATTATATTATTATTGATTTCAGAGAGGAAAGGAGAGAGAGATAGAAACATCAAAGATGAGCCCTAATCATTTTGGCTCAGTGGATAGAGCATTGGCCTGCAGACTCAAGGGTCCCAGGTTTGATTCTGGTCAAGGGCATGTACCTTGGTTGCAGGCACATCCCCAGTAGGGAGTGTGTAGGAGGTAGCTGATTGATGTTTCTCTTTCATCGATGTTTCTCTCTATCTCTCTTCTCTCTGTAAAAAAAAAAAAAAAAAAGAAAGAAAGAAAGAGAAACATCAAAGATGAGAAAGAATTATGATTGGCTGCCTCTTGCAGTGGGGTTAGAACCCACAACTTGGACAGGTGCCCTGACTGGAAATCGAATCATGACCTCTTGAATTCCTAAGTAGACATTCAACCACTGAGCCACACCAGCCAGGCTAGCTTGGTAATTTTGAATAACTTGGATAATTCTTTGCAAATCGATGTTAAATAATTATCTTACACATAGATTGGGTTCAAAAATACTTGATGAATTGATAGAGATTTCCCCCCTGATGTTATTTCCTTTTTATTCTATCCTCTTAAAATTTTTTTTTAAAGTAGATAAAAGATTACTTAAAGTTTTATTTTGTCTTCTATGTAAATTTTGTCAGGCATAAAATACATGTCGAGAAGCTAATAAAATAGAGGAAAATTCATTCCAGTCACAAAAAAAGAAAACTTAAAGAATTGATTTTCTTTTCTTTAGGACCTGTTATGGAATTTGATTATGCAATATGTGAAGAATGTAGTAGAGAATTTATGGATTCTTACCTTATGAGCCACTTTGATTTGCCAACTTGTGATAACTGCAGGTACTTACTTTATTTCAGACAATTTTCTCAATTGCTAAAATTGAATGTTTACATACAAGCATTTGGATTTAATATTTTTTTTTAGTAATAATTTTTATTTGGAGAGTTTCCTAACATTTCTATGGTTTCCATTCTGTCAAAGAAATAAAGGAAACCTGTGCTTATAAAAATTATATGTCACATAAATTGGAATGCCCTAGGTTCTGCCATAGATTATTTGTTTTTTTTTCTTTCTGATGGTCGGGGGTTTTTATTTCTTATTTTATTTTATTTTTTAAAAATTTAATAAATCTTTATTGCTCAGATTATTACAATTGTTTCTCCCTTTTCCCCCCATAGCTTCCCCCCACCCTCTGCCCTTACCACTGTCCTCATCATAGGTGTACGCTTTTTTTTAACATATTTTATTGATTTTATACAGAGAGGAAGGGAGAGAGATAGAGAGAAACATCGATGAGAGAGAGTCATCAATCAGCTGCCTCTTGCACACCCCCTACTGGGGATATGCCCGCAACAAAGGTACATGCCCTTGACTGGAATCAAACCCGGGACCCTTCAGTCTCCAAGCCGACGCTCTATCCACTGAGCCAAACCGGTCCCGGCAGGTGTATGCTTTTTGTCCAGTCTCTTCTTGCACCCCACACCCCTTTCCTCCCAAGAATTTTCAGTCCACTCCCTTGATATGCCCCTGATTCTATTATATTCACCAGTTTATTCTGTTCATCAGATTTTTAATTCACTTGATTTTTAGGTTCACTTGTTGATATGTTATTTGTTGTTCATAATTTTTATCTTTACCTTTTTCTTCTTCCTCTTCTTAAAGAATTCCTTTCAGCATTTCATATAATACTGGTTTGGTGTTGATGAACTCTTTAGCTTTTCCTTATCTGTGAAGCTCTTTATCTGACCTTCAACTATGAATGATAAATTTGCTGGGTAGAACAATCTTTGTTGTTTGTTTTTACTATTCATCACTTTGAATATTTCTTGCCACTCCCTTCTGGCCTGCATAGTTTCTGTTGAGAAATTAGCTGACAATCGTATGGGTGCTCCCTTGTAGGTAACTTACTGTTTTTCTCTTGATGCTTTCAAGATTCTCTCTTTGTCCTTTGCCCTTGGCATTTTATTTATTTATTTATTTATTTATTTATTTATTTATTTATTTATTGCCTTTGGCATTTTAATTATGATGTGTCTTGGTGTGATCCTCTTTGGATTCCTTTTGTTTGGGGTTCTGTGCACTTCCTAGACTTGTAAGTATATTTCTTTCATCAGGTGGGGGAAGTTTTCAGTCATCATTCCTTCAGATAGGTTTTCAGTATCTGCTCTCTCTCTTCTTCTGAAACCCCCATAATTCTGATGTTGGTATGCTTGAAGTTGTCCCAGAGGCTTCTTACACTATCTTCAAAATTTTGGACTCTTTTTTTCTTTTTTCTTTCCCGGTTGAGTGTTTTTTGCTTCTTTGTATTTCAAGTCTTTGATTTGATTCTTGCATTCCTTTAGTTGGGTCTCTGTATAATATTTTTTTATTTTAGTCAGTGTATGTTTAATTTCTAATTGGTCCTTTTCATATCCTTGAAGGTCTCACTGAATTTATCAGCCATTTCTAGGAAATTCTTGATAGGCCAGTTGGCTGTGACAAAATACCATGGCCTGGGTGAGTCTATTTTGAAGAAGTGGCGTTAGAAGAAGTTAAGTTTAAAAAATTTGGCTATCAAAAGAAATTTCAATCGTTGTACTGTTGATATTTGGCTCTGTTGATTAATAAGTTTGCCGACCACTGCCTTAGGAGTCACTGCCTATCTCTGATTTTATCTCATTACTGCTCACCATCACTCACTTTAAGCTTTCTAGTCATAGGTGGCCCTCTTGCTGTAAGCTCCAGTTGCCAAGCAAACTCTTGTCTTGGAGCCTTTGCGTTTGCTCTTCTCTCTGCTAGGAATGTTTTTTCTCTGGCTATTCAGAATGTTCTGCCTTCTTAAGGGCTCTACTCAAGAGTCCTGTATCAGTGACTTTCTCTGATACCCACTCTATGTGAAAATCCTTTTTCTACCCTCTTATATTTCTTCATAGCACTTTTTTCTGTCACTGTGTTTGCTTGTTGATTGTCTTTTCCTTTACTGGGATGTAAACTTTATGAAAACAAGGCTTTGTTTTATTCTTTGCTGTATTCCTCATGCTTCAGACAATACCTGGCATGTAGATAGGGAACAAATGAATGAGAAGAACTATGTAATGGACTGTCTCCATTTTTGCCTTGACTTTGAAAAGCTCAGCCACCTGGACACTTAACTGTGTTGGGGCAGGTGGACCTTCCATATTTATTATCCTTATTGCCTGTCCATCCTGACTTCATGCTTTAATTTATATTTTCTTATTTATTGAGTCTTAGTTCTCATTTATATTTGCTATACTCTAATGAGTTATTTAAAAATCTGTGGAAAAGAGGGACTTTAAGTAGAAAAGGAATTCTTAACATTTTCAATAATATAGATTTGTTGCTAATATAGTGTCTCAGAATATGTAAAGGATAAACCACTTTTTTTCTGTTAGAATTTTTGTGCTGCCAATTTGATCATGAGAGCTGCAGGAAAAAGTATTTAATATGTTCCTTTTGGTATGCATACCCTAGGTTGTTGGGCTCTTTGAAAACATAATTTATATTAAATAACTAACATATATAATGGACTTAATTTGTTTTCAGAGATGCTGATGATAAACACAAACTTATAACTAAAACAGAAGCAAAACAAGAATACCTTCTGAAAGACTGTGATTTAGAAAAAAGAGAACCACCTCTTAAATTTATTGTGAAGAAGAATCCTCGTCATTCACAGTGGGGTGATATGAAACTCTACTTAAAATTACAGGTCTCTAATGAGTAATATTCAGTCATTTTATTCCTGGGACAGGTGAAGTTTTAACAAGCAACTAGTTCTAATTAGTTTAGTTTTTGCTTTTAGAATTAAAAAGATCCTTTGCATTTTGCTTTGCATATGAATCACAGTTACTCAAAATTACAATAGCATGTTTTCTTATTTTGCTTTTTGGTGCAGCACTTTGAAGCAATGTATTATCATTGAGTAATGTTAAGAGTACAGCTGGGAAACTAAAAAAGCTTGGAATGAGAGGCAGACCCTATATTCCTGCTGTCTCTGACCCAAGTCTTTTTTTAAAAATTCAGGAATTTCACAAATGCCTAAAATCTAACTCTATTTGGGAAATACTCATCTGAAACCCTGTGAGATGTCCATGTAACTATCGATAGTATGTTCCAGAGCAGATTTTCTCAACTCCTTTTGCTGCCATTGTTTCAGGCGTGCCAAGATAGTGAATACTCTTAGTTCCTAGGCTGCGATAGTGCTCAGACTGGGTGCTTTGGGTCACAAGCAGCCTCTTGTATATACCCCAGAATGGTATAGTACTGTAGTATTCTTTTTGAGGCATTAATTTAGAGCAATATGAATTAAAATATACTAGAAAATCCTAGTATCTTTAAATAAAATTAAGCCACATGTAAAACCAAATATACAGTGAATTTCATTGAATATAAGACAACTATTGATTAGAAAATTTACTATTATTTTATGTACTATCAGAAATTAAAAAGTGCTCATTAAACAATGTTTTTATTGATATCAGAGAGAGGAAGGGAGAGGGACAGATAGAAACATCAATGATGAGAGAATCATCATTTGGCTGCCTCCTGCACGGCCCCTACTGGGGATCGAGCTCGCAACCCAGGTATATGCCCTGACGGAATCGAACCCTGACCTCTTGGTTTATAGGACCAAACTCAACCACTAAGCCATGCTGGCCGGGCCTGAACCACTTTTGACTCAGAATTGTTAAAGTACTGTTAGCATGTTGGTGATGCAACAATTTTAGAGGGTTAATTGTGAAAAATATGTTTTGGAATGTTTAAAATTAGAGTATATCATGTTTTATGTTAAGAAATTTGAGTTTGGCTACATTGATTGATATTTTGGTCCCCTTAACATATTTTGAGAGAGATAGTGAGCATAATTCTCAGTGTATATATTATTCTAAATATGAATAAATTTTATAAAAAGTAAAGATACATAACCTAAAGTATTAAGAGTGGAATAAAGACTTTTTCGGTCCTTTAGCTACCATAGATTTAAAAAAATGCATATTCTGCCGAACCAGTTTGGCTCAATGGATAGAGCGTTGGTCTGCGGACTGAAAGGTCTCAGGTTCGATTCCGGTCAAGGGCATGTACATTGGTTGCGGGCACACCCCCAGTTGGGGGTGTGCAAGAGGCAGCTGGTCGATGTTTCTCATTGACGTTTCTAGCTCTCTATCTCTCTCCCTTCTTTGTGGAAAATCAATAAAAAATATTTTTAAAAAATGCATATTCTAAAGATCAGAGGTTAGTCAAATGATGGAAAAACTATTATTGATTCAGGAGAAGAGTGGTAGTGATTGATTTCCTGTGGTGGGAAATTTTTGGAGGTTACCTCCTACTTAGATCTGATGTGACTAATTGATAAGTAAATTTTGGGGGGTGAGCTTATCAAAACTCATTAGAACCCTGATTTATATGTCCTTATGTTGATTCAAGTGAAAAAGCCGAGTGAGTCAGAGAAACAGTTATAGTCAGAGGATAACTTTCCTATTTATAATCAAGATTAGCATACATTTCCTGAGGTTCTCAGAGGTTTAGATAGAGGCATTTATAGAGTTGTTTTTTATTAATATTTAAAATTTCAAATAAATATAAAATTGTACTTGAGTTAGATCATTCTTCGGTGCCTGTGGATTTAATAATTATAACTACAATTTGCAACTCTGAATCACAACTAATTTAAATATGAATTCTGTATTATAGATTGTGAAGAGGGCTCTAGAAGTTTGGGGTAGTCAGGAAGCATTAGAAGAAGCGAAGGAAGTTCGACAGAAAAACCGAGAGAAAATGAAACAGAAGAAGTTTGATAAAAAAGTAAAAGGTAAGTGGATATATTTATATCCTAAAAGATTATGTTTTTTCCTGTTTAAAGATGTAGTGTCACCAATAGATTGGAATACTAATATGTCATATGTACATTGAAGAAAAAAGACTTAACATAATGCTCTTAGGAGGCGGGTGTGTGACACTCTTGAGTCCAAGCCTCATAATATTGCAATTCTAAAAAGCATGTAAACCCTCATTTTAATGTGAATCATGTATCCCTGGTCAAAGATTTGGCAACAGTTCAATCTTTATAACTCAAAAAGAGTTATTAAAAGCAAATATATCGATTAACAAGCCTCTTAATCGCTGAAAATGAAAAAATTATGGTTAAGTCTTATCTAATTTGGCAGTTAGAAGGAACCTATCTAATATCAGCCAGTTTAATCCCTTTTATCATATATATAAAAGGCTAATATGCTAAGTGTTCCTCTGCCCATCTGACCAGTCGCTATGGCACGCACTGACCACCAGAGGGCAGATGCTCAATGCAAGAGCTGCTGAGCTGCATTAACTTGGCAGCGACAGTTCTCAGCTGATGCACCTCGAACCCAGAGAGGAGGAGCCTGATTCCTTTGGGGCTGTGCGATTCCACCTTCCGCCGTGGGTAATGTTGCTGGGGCACTGTCAGCCCCAAACCTGGTTTACTGCACACTTGGTATTTACGATCCACCCCTGAGCGACAGCAACTTTGCAGGGTGCTTTCTTGCACTCCGGGACCCCTTGGGGGATGTCAGAGAGCCTGTTTCGGCCCGATTTGTTGATGATAGCCATTCTGACAGGTGAGATGGTACCTCATTTTTGTTTTGATTTGCATCTCTTGGATGATTAGTGACTTAGAACATGTTTTCATATTCCTTCTTGGCCTTTCGAAAGGTGTCTATTTAAGGCTTTGCCCATATTTTTATTGGATTGTTTATCTTTTTAAGTTGTATGAGTTCCCTATAAATTTGGAGATTAGGCCCTTATTGGATATAATATTGGCAAATATGTTCTCCTACGCAGTGGGCTTTCTTGTTGTTTTGTTAATGGTTTCTTTTGCTGTATAGAAGCTTTTTATTTTGATATAGTCCCATTTGTTTATTTTCTCCTTAGTTTCAATTGCCCTAGGACCGTGGTCAGCAAACTGCGGCTCGTGAGCCACATGTGGCTCTTTGGCCCCTTGAGTGTGGCTCTTCCACAAAATAACACGGCCTGGGAGAGTCTATTTGAAGAAGTGGCGTTAGAAGAAGTTTAAGTTTATAAAATTTGGCTCTCAAAAGAAATTTCAATAGTTGTACTGTTGATATTTGGCTCTGCTGACTAATGAGTTTGCCAACCACTGCTCTAGTCCCACCTTGTGAGAGTTTTTATCAAGAAAGGGTGTTGGATTTTGTCAAATGCTTTTTCTACATCAATTGATATGATTATATGGTTTTTATCCCTTAATTTGTTTGTGATGTATTATGTTTATTGATTTGCGGATATTGTACCATCCTTGCATTTCGGGAATAAATCCCACTTGGCCATGGTGTATAATGCAATGCTGGATTTTATTTGCTAGAATTTTATTGAGGATTTTGGCATCTATGTTCATGGGGGATTTTGGCCTATAATTCTCTTTCTTTGTATCTGGTTTTGGGATTAGGGTAATGCTGGCTTCATAGAAAGAGCTTGGAAGTGTTCCTTCCTCTTGAATTTTTTGGAATAGCCCGAGGAGGACAGGTTTTAGTTCATTCAAAGAAGAATGGTAAAGTTTTGGTAAAACTCATTTAAACAAAGGAAAACTTGTTTTGGTAAAAAGTATAAACAGACCCTAAGGATACCAGTAGCAAGTATTTTAACACCGTAAACCACTCTATGTTTGACTTGTTCCTTCTCATTCCCCCTCCAAGGTTTCCTCAGCTCCCAAGTCTTAACTCTTCCTCCCCTCTTCTTGTCTCAGACCTTTCTGCCTTCTCTTCTCATTCTCAGCAGTAGGTAGTTGATTTCTACTTTCCAAAGTTTTAAGTTGCTTAAATAAAGTAATGTTAAAGCTTCATTAATAAAAACATATTAATCTTTATTTAAACAAGTTTTTATTTCACTATATGTTGTTTGCCATATATGCTTTTTTCTCTCCTTCACATATGTATTTTGCTGAACTATTTAAGAATTACTTGTAGACACTGTAATTTTTATCGAGTATGTCAACATGTTATCTCCTAAAAACAGTGACATTCTCTGCATAACTAAAAACAATCACACCCATAAATTTATCATTAATATAACGCTAGTGTATTTATTTCCTCTCCTCCCCCCGTTAATTCCAATGCCTTTACCAGCTTTTTAGGGACCATTCAAAGATGATGCATATCTATAGTCTTAGTTTCTCAGTCTTTTTATCTTCATGATATTGACATTTTTTAAAACTAAGAGTTGACAATTTTATTTTTACATTTCACAATACAAATAACATAAACTGATAGAGGCTCCCTCTCTTAAGAGTCCAGGCCATCTGGTGTGTGGAATGCTCCTCTGTTTGGGTTTATTCGCAGTTTGTTTCCTCATAATTATTCAGGTGGAGCGGTTTTGGTAGGAACGCTTCCTAGGTGAGGTATATCATATCAGCACACATACCAGTTCTCTGAGAGTGCTACTCAGTTTGATTGATTGGTTAAGGCAGCGTCTGCCTGATTTCTTCAGCCACCCTTTCTCTACTTTTTGACACTTTGTGAACATCTTGTTCCTTAAATTTCACTCTGGTTTTACGGGAATGATTCTTTACGGGAATGATTCTTTCCTGAGTCAGTTATTGTTAGGGTGCATGTACTAGTAAATGGCTATTTTCTATTTGTTATTCTTTCTATAATTGCTATTTGACTTCTTTTGGAAAGGAGCATCTTTAGTACCATTTGGATTCATGGATTCTTATTCTCAAACCAGTCTTATAATCCATATTTCTGTCATTTATTTTGATGCTTACTGTCTCAAATTTGGCCAGTGGAAGCTCCTTCAAGCTAGCCCCTGTCTTTTTTTTTAAAAGAGCCTTTGAGGGAAATATATATATTATTTATTTATTTATTTATTTTTTACAGAGAGGAAGGGAAAGGGACAGAGGGGCAGAGAGTTAGAAACATTGATGAGAGGAACATCGAGCAGCTGCCTCCTGCACACCCTCTACTGGGGATGTGCCCGCAACCAAGGTACATGCCCTTGACAGGAATCGAACCTGGGACCCTTGAGTCTGCAGGCTGACGCTCTATCCACTGAGCCAAACCGGTTTCGGCAAGCTAGCTTCTGTCTTTTATTTTTATTTGTAAATAATTTCAAACTTACATAAAATTATAAGAATAATACAAAGGATACCCATATATTCTTTACCCCATTTTACCTAATCTTAACACTTTGTCATTTGTTTCACTATTTACATTCTATATACGTTTTTTCTATACCCTTTGAGTAGGTTGTCTACATCATCACTCTTTACTCTTAAATACTATACCATATTACTTAATAGGAATGTCCTCTTACAAAATCAAAAGTATAATATTGATATTTTAATCTAATCTGCCATCCATATTCTAGTTTTGTTAGCTGACCCAATAATGTCCTGTATAATTTTTCGTTCTAGCATCAGGTATCGGCTTTAGGTACCATGTCTAAATTTTTTTATTCTACACTATTTCCACAGCCTTTATCTTTTATGACAGTGTCATTTTGAAGTGTTTCATTTGGGACTTTTCTGATTTGCCCTGATGGTTAGATTCTGGTTATACATTTCAGGGATAGCACATAAATGATGTGTCTTTCTCAGGGCATCACATTTGGAGGCATGGTGGTGGTTTATTTTTGATGTGATAAGCATAAACAAAGAAATAAAATGATAAGATTTGCACATGTCTTAACACTTCCCTCTAGTTTAGCAACTATCCATGGATGGTTCTTGCCTGAGCCAATCTTGAGTATTATGATTACAAAAATTTTCTTACTTTAGCACTCCCTCTGCATTTAACCAGCATCCTTTCCCCCATTTGTTTATTATCGGTAGGGGTTAATTCCTGTTCTTCACAATAGGTTCATTTCTGTCAATTATTTTGGTGCTCAAATTTTAATCCTCACCTGAGGTATGTTTTTATCTTGGGGGGGGGGGGGGGGAGAAAAACATTGATTAGTTGCCTCCCATATGGGCCCTGATCGGGGATTGAACCAGTAACTTAGCCATGTGTCCTGACCGGCAACCTTTTGATATATGAGGTGGCACTACAATTGAGTCACCGGGCCAGGGCAGAAGTACCTTCAGACTAGCTCTGAAGGTACTTCTTCATGTCTTCAGCATTTGTTGAGGACTCCTTTCTGCCTTCTACACAAAACACATGTATATTTTTAATATTTTTATGTTTGTCCATATACACACACATAAAAATTAAAACCTTGAGTTCACACTGAAAAACCCCATTCAATAAAAAATATTTAGGGTTCATCCTAATTTCCTGACAGGGAGTACCCCGATTCCCATTACCCTTACTGTAGTTAGCTGGTGAGTGTCCCTGCACCTGATCTCCCGTCACTGCCGCCTCCTCTGTAGGGAGATCCTCCTCTCCTCACCTTTCTTGGGCTGCCCCACCCCACATGGATGCCTGCTTCACTTGCTCTACTTACTGATGGTTTTAGGACTGGATTGTTCCAGAAGGAAAAGAAGGGCAAGAAAATGACAAACATCAGTTTTTTAGTACTTCCTTATTTCCCACTGTATTTTCCTAGAAATATCTAGTAAATACTAAAGGTATGACCGATTATGCCTACTAAGCTAGATTTTGGTTAAGTATTCTTTTAATGATAATACTTCTCTCCCCCTAAATTCACATAATGCTCAAATTTAGGCAGAGGTTAGCTTTGCAGTGATTGGGATGCAGTCAGATTTTGAGGGATTTTCTGTGGGGCGGGGAAGGAAAAGTGGCCAGGATTCCTTACATCAGAACAAAGTTGAAAAGCAGGTATTGGCACTCAAACAGGAAACATTTTCCTGTCATGTGAAACCATGAAGCAGCTGTGAAGTTCTGGTTAGTTTATCATTTCAATTTTTTATAAGCTGGCCTAAGAAAAAAATAATAAAAAGCCTAGAGGACATTTCAGATGTCTAGAAAAATTAGGGTTCTTCGAAGTATGATATAACAGGAATCAAGCTTAGATTTTGGATGAACATAAACTATCTTTAGGTGTGCACGCTGAAGCTTAAAAATCGTTTCAGATCAAGTGCTTTTCATACAGGAGGTATGAAAAGGCAGCACAGCTGTGGTTAAGAACACGCACCTGAGCTAGATTGTGCCTCTGCCATCAACTAGCTGTTTGACCTATGACACATGCTGTGTAACTTCTCTGTGCCTTAGTTTTCTCATCTATAAAATTGGGATAATAGTTGTACTTATTTAAAAGAATTGGGAGGATTAAGTGTATTTTATACAGTGCATAGAGCAGTGCCTGATACATAGCTCTATATGTTTGCTTATCCTCATGATATGATAAAGGCTGAAAATAGAAAGACTCAGGTAGTATTTTGATTGCTTATTACAGATTTAAAATGGAGTAAAGAAAATGTGTGATCACTTGGTACATGTCGATCTTTATGGTTGACATAAAAGATAACTACCATACTCTTCCTTAGGTTGTGCTTCTGTCAGTGCTGGGCTTGATGGATCGTTGGTTAGAATAGAAAATTGCTTTTTGTTCATTTAACTAAAAACTGAAGTTATTTGCTTAATTTCAAAGTGGGAAGAGGAAGAGACAGACTCCTCTTTGCTGCTGTAGCATCCTGTCTCCCATAGTCAGTTGCTTGAACAAATCCTCTTCTTTTACTCATGTTAATTTGCTTTTTCTATCCCTCCAACCCACACACTCCATTTCTGAATCTAGTTCATACTACTACAATGGCATGAATGACGTGACAGGTCAACTTGGTGAGGTAAGGTTGTATATTCAATTTTGATTTGTTTAAGGCAAACCATACATTCCTACACTCCTGATAGATTTCAGCTGAATAGCATTATTGGAAAACTGGCATTTTACCCAGCTGGTGTATGGCTCAGTGGTGGTGTTGACCTGTGAACCAGAAGGTCATAGTTTGATTCCAGGTCAGGGCACATAAGGACTGTGGGCTTGATCCCCAGTGTGGGGCACATCCAGGAGGTAGCCGATCAATGATTCTCTTATTGATATTTCTATCTCTCCCTCTCTGAAATCAATAAAAATATATTAAACACACACACACAAAACCTGTTTTCCCCCTCTTCTCCCTTTAGAATTACGGCGAGCAGTAAGAAGCAGTGTATGGAAGAAGGAAATGGTTGCTCACCAACATGAGTATGGACCAGAAGAAGACCTAGAGGATGACATGCACCGGAAGATTTGTACTACATGTGGCCATGAACTGACGTATGAGAAGATGTGATCTGTTTCAGAGTTTTAGGTTTAGATACAAGAAATTTACATTGATCTTATTCAAAATTCACACAAAAAATACCTTTATAGGTGAAATAGTTGTATAAGTAATGCTTCAGTACTAAGTATGTATGTTATCGCTTAAGAGCAAGTGTCAGTTCAGGTCTGGCAAGTCTGCTTGTGGGCTAAATACTGGGTCTGATAATTCTTTTTTGGAACAGGGATGGGAGCTTAGTGATACAGTAGGTTTAAAAATGTTAGGTGAGAGCTAAAGTTGAGAAATAAGAAACCAAGGTAAACCTTGATTGGGGTAGGAGGATGAGTTTTAGTAAAGGCAAAAGCTGGCTGTTGTATTAGATTCTTATTCCAAGAAACAACAGGGATGGTGGTAAACCCTGCCAAGTCAGGGAGAAAGGAGCTGTTACTGGGACAAGTCCTGGTTAATAACAGGAAAAAAGAATGAGTTGTAGGCGCCTGACCATGTATTCTCTATTTGTAAGGTTTACTATAGGCCCTAATAGTCACTAGATAGCTCTGTTCAAACCTGGATTAAAATGGAGAAACAGCAAGGAAGGTAATTACAGTAAGTTTATCATATCTTGCTAACATTTACTGAGCACTTAAGTGCCAGGAAACCATTATGCTAGGTGCCTTACAGATAACCTAATTTTATCCTGGGAGGGAGGGAAGACAGCTTGCTTCTCTGTTTATTTAGCACTTGGAAAAGAAATGATAATCAAAAACCTGACAAAGAAAGGCAAAAGTCAAAACAAAACAAGTTAAACCCAAAGAGAGTTGACTGTAATTACTCATTATTCTCTTTATAAGTATTCAATACAGAAATGCTAAATATATATTTTTGTGTTGATTTTTTAAAATATGCTATGCTAAATATTTCAGCTCAATAAAAATTCTGAACGGGCAGAAGACCTTTCTGGGACCAAAAGAAAAAAAAAAAGCTTCCAGCTTGATGACAACAGAGTAACTAGGAGTTCAGGCTGCTGACAACAGCATTACTGCGTTGGGATAAGGAGCTATTGAGCCACTTGGATTTAGTTCAGATTTCACTTACTAGCTATGGATCTTGGGTAAGTTATTCCATGGGCTGTTTTTATCTGGGCATAGAAACACATCTCTTCAACTTGTGAGGATTGAATATGGTGAATCTCTAGAACGTGGAACATAACAGTTTCTCGTTAATGAGACATATTGTCATCAAGACCAATAGTTATAAATTTGTCTAGCTGAGATATAGTTCTAGTTCTAGTCACTGTTTGCCTTCATTTTAAGATAATCCTGGTATCCAGATACTAAGGATAGCCAGGTCTGCTCTGGTTAGGTTGGCAAGTTCACTACTAAATATTCTTATAGTAAAAGCAAACTTATCTTCATAGGAACTGTTTCCTGAGTAATTCCTGGGAAATTTAGAATCAGGGAAAACAAAAGTATATGTTCACTTTGGCATCGGAGTAGACTATATTTTATAGTCACTAAATGTATGGTAAACCAAAGAGATCATATATTAATGAGAATGCTTAATGCATTGTAAACTTATGATCCTATGTTGCACAAATGCTCAAATACTACCATTTATGTGTTATAGATTTCAGACAAGAAGGGAGAGGGAGAAATAGAAACATCAATGATGAGAGGGAATCATTGATCAGCTACCTCCTGTATGCCCACTACTGGGGATTGAGCCTGCAACCTGGGCATGTGCCCTCGGCTGGAATTGAACCTGGGACTCTTCAGTCTGCGGCCAATGCTCTATCTACTGAGCAAAACCAGCTAGGGCTAATTGTGGGATTTCATTGGTAAATTTTTTCTAAGGTTTAATGAAAAAGTCTAAAAATGCTAGAAATATGAAATGCTAGATAATACCTTAAACTTGTGTTATTTTACAGTGCAGTCTCATTTATTATCCTAGTTATAGGAAACAGGCTCAGAAATTACTATTACTTGGACCAGGTTCTATAGAAACAAAATCCCAAGTATAGAGTTTTAGCCAACTTAACTACTTCTGGAGGAAATGACCAGGCCTCTAAGATAATGGCTCCCAAACTTGTCTGCACATTGGAGCCACACAGAAGCCTTAAAAACTATAGCTGGTATGTGTTGCCCCCCCAACCCCCCGAATTGTGATTAATTAAAAAAACAAAAAAACCCCCTGAAGGTTGCCAGGTGATTCAGACAAATTTAGGAACCTACTGTGAATAACACTAAATACACCTATTTTAAAGGGAAAATTTCAAATGGAGGTAAGTACACCTTCAGTAAGAAATCACTAATTTTAGACTGACATAAATCATGAAATACCAAAATGTAAAAAACATTTTTAGTTTTATTTTAGCCATGTTAGGTTATCCATAAGCTGTGAAAAGCTATGCTACTTGGTAATAAACCCACTGTTTCTATATACTACTTTGTAAGCTTGACCTCTAGGGTTCACACACCTCAAATCAGTTATCTTTTGTGCCTTAAGGAGAAAAAATGTCAATCAGAAAAGTTGTATCTGTCACATATATAATAATACATCCTATGGTCACCGATCGTCACATTGTCATTAGGGAATATTTGCTTTTTAGGGGTAATTACAGGTAACCAATGCCATATTCTTCACTGTCTTCCCTCTGTTTCCTTTAGAAAATGAAAGGAGCTACAAGAAAGCAAGCATTCAAACCACCTGAAATAAGACAAATTAGACTTTAAAAAAAATCTTGACATGAGGGGAAAAGGCCCCTTAGGCCTGTAGGGCACAGAACTGCTGGAACACAGCCAGGATGTGAGGGTCTAACTCCGCGGTGAAGAGCAGGTTCTCCAGGGTCACCATGTACTGCTGGATTGTCTGGTGATGCTGTGGGCACAAAGGGGTTAGGTCAGAAAAAGAGCACATAAGCTATTTTGAAGAATATTCCCCTCAACAGCCCACCCACGTTGTGAAAAAATGGAAATAACGGGCCCCTGAAAAGCCCCAACATTTGTAGAGGGAAATGAGGCTGTTCAATAATTTAAAAAATGCAGTCTTGACCAGCTTCTAGGGCACTGCATTCATGCCTCGTGGCAATGCCTGCTGCTGTTACCATTAGACTAGGTCAGTGGTTCTTAACCTTCCTTCAGCGGCGGTTCTCAACCTGTCATGACCCACAGGTTGAGAACCACTAGCAGGGTTGCCTAAGATCGGAAAACACAGATATTTACATTATGATTCACACCAGTAGCAAAATTACAGTTATGAAGTAGCAATGAAAATAATTTTATGGTTGGGGGGGTCACAACACGAGGAACTGTATTAAAGGGTCGCAGCATTAGGAAGGTTGAGAACCACTGGACTAGGTTAAGCTGTCCTCTAATGAGGACAAAACAAGTAACAATCCCAGAGATTGATCTACAAAGATTTTTTTAAAAGATGGTATATGTTACAAATAGGAGTAGCACAATTGCTACTGTTTGAGATGTAAGAAGAAGCTACTGTTTGAGATGTAAGAAGAAAAGTTTTGGAATCTTTACAAAAGAAAAAAAAAATAGACATTATCCAGTGATCTAATAATCTTTTTTATGTGCACCTATATAACTTGAATTAATTAGAGATCCCAAAAGAACTAAGGGTTGTTTTAATTGGCATTAACTAAATCTAGAGAGGATTTTTATTTGGAGGTTTAAAGAACTTTTTTTTCCTTTTATGACTTCTAATTCAGTAACTTTTCTAGAATAAATGAGGATTTAGGTTAATTTTGGAAGACACAGAATTAGTTCCTCTCTCCTACCAGGCTTTAAAGTAACCTTGCTTTTCTAAGGGCACTCTTATCAGATTTTAAGGATCTTTGTTAATATAATTACTATTCCCTGAACATTTGTTCTCTGCATTTTGTATTAAGCTAGGCTAGGTTTTCTAGCAAAGAATGGCAATTAGGAGTCTGAGTGATAAGAACCAATTTAAGCCTCAATATTATGAGCAACAGGAGGAAATGGACTAAAGTACTTATGGGTATTATATAACCTGACAAATTTTATGATTTTAATAAATGGAGTATCTTTGCAGCTGAGAATAGTGATGTTTATTATCTAATCAGTTTCCCACCAACCTGTAAGAAGATCTGCTGGAGCCTCTCTATGCAGTTCTTATACCACGGTGTTAAAATGCTGGTCCCGTCCGTCTCACATCGTACTAAATGCTCCGTCAGGATCATGATAAAGCGCTGGAAAGGGGGTACAGAGTTAGAGGTGTTAAGAGAGGGAGTGAATGACTTCTTCAGAAACAATCACACCTTGACCAAGAGACTGTAAAGATGCTATCTGTTCTGCTGTCTTTATGATATATAACTTTTCATAATTCAACAAATACTGTCTACAAGACACACCAGTAATAACGTTAGTACATCCTCTTTGGCAATAGATAAGGACCTTTAATGTCTAGATTACTTAGGACATAATCAGAAATGTTAGAGGAATCTATGTACAAAAATGTTCATCAAGAAGGAAAACAGTCATTAAATGATCAATAATTGGGAATAATGAAAGAAGTATTTAACAAACATTCTCAGTTTTTTAAAGCCTGGAAAAACACTCATACAAGAATGCTGAGTGAACAACACAATTTGGAGAGAGAACGTGGTTAATTCCAAGTACTTAGCTTTTGTACTTTTAACTTTAATAACTACAAATAACATTTTTTAAACTAAAGAAATACATGTCCAAGCCAAAATACCTGAAATATGACAAGGAAGAGGTTCTTTTGTTCACTCTGAGCAGATTCCACTTTTTCCTGCAGTCTTTCTATTTGCTCTTCGAGAGCCCCATCTTTCCTGTCACTGCTTCTGTCATCATCATCACTTCTCTACAGAATGCAAAGGAACAAAAGGAAAATGCCATTTAGAATGCTACTGTATTAAACCTCCTCAAGTAAGGGAAATACTTTATTCTGTCTGGTCAAATAGTATTTGAAGACTTGGTATTCTGTTTTTTAAACTGTTTTTATTGATTTTTTTTTTTTAATTTTTTTTTTTTTTAGAGTGATTAGAAACATCGATGGCTGCCTCCTGCATGCCTCCCACTAGGGATTGAGCCCGTAAACTAGGTTTGTGTTCTGATAGAAATCAAACTGATGACTTCTTAATTTATAGGTCGATGCTCAACCACTGAGCAACACTGGCTGGACTGAAGACTTGTATTCTATAGGGAAAGTACCACCCCAACACACACACACAGACATCCAAAAGTCCTAGGGTCAGAAAAATTTAGTGGCACTTGTCTTGAATAATATAGCAGTGGGAGTGTTTGCTATTAAACCGAAGTGAGTTATGCCTTTTATAAGATAGTCCAATCAGGGAGGAAATGTTTGTCATATATTTTTCCTCCAGTCAAAATGAAAACAACTGTGAGCTCCTGGAAAACATACTTGATTCCTGTTATTCATCATAGCTGTGCTTTCTGAAGTAGCTGTGAGTCCAGAATTAGTTACTATACTACTGAACCACTGCTCTTAGGGGAAATAGAAGGCTACATCTAAATCATGTCCTAGCCAGTTTGTGCAATGGTTAGAGCGTCGACTTGTGGACTTGATTCCTGGCCCCAGTTGGGGTATATGTGAAAGGCAACCAATCAATGGGTCTCTCCCCCACTTCCCCTCTAAAACCAATGGAAAAAAGTATTGGCAGTGAGGATTAACAACAAAAATACATAAATCTTAAAATAATTATATACAATATATTTTATGATTTCAGAGAGGAAGGGAGAGAATTATTGGTCAGCTGCCTGCTACGTGCTCCATATTACTGGGGATCGAGCCTGCAACCTGGGCATGTGCTCTGACCAGAAATTGAGCCATGCCCTTCTGGTTCATAGGTTGACCTCTGAGCCATGCTGGCCACGCTATAGTATTTCTCTATACTAAAACACTAGCTGAGAAGGACTTAACATTTTCCTGACCCTTAGTAATATGACAATTCCTTTGGCTTTCAACCTCTCAAGAATGCTGTCCATCCCCCTCCCCCCCCCCCCCCCCCCCCGCCACACACACACACACACACACACACACACACACACACACCTTCACTGTGGATATTTTTTCCATTGATTTTTATAGAGAAGTTTTAATAAACCAGTCATCTCATAAGTGCATAGATTTAGCTCCTTTTCCCATAGCTTTACCACACATTACAGATACTACTTTTTGGTGGGGCATCCTCATGTACAGATTGGTGAATTTCCTCTTCCTTTTTCTGGGTGTATTATTAATTTGTGAACATTGGATTCATAATCAACAGCACTGTAAGTCATGCCTGGACAAAGCTAATCCCCATGAGGCAATCATGGCCTTCTTGTGCTTAGGAACACTGGATAGCCCTTCCGTCTCATGCTGGAGGACCATTTTAAACAGTGAAATAACCAACCGAAACACCACAGAATGAAAAAAAAAAAAAAAGTACAAATAACGTGGCATTAAGTAACACCATCAAAAGGACACTTTTAAATAGGAGCACTGAAACAAGGCAGAATTGCATTGTTCAATCTCAGCTGGGAACAAGCCCACTGGGCAACTCAAAATGTCCACTGCTCTGCGTATGTTTGCCATGACCAGGAAAGCTCTGTGAGGTTATAAATTACTTTAGTGAGTTGGTAAAAAGAGAAGTTCCAAATAATGAGAGATAATGTATTCTTAGAACTTGGCTATTTATTCAACAAAATAGATGACCAATGAAAAAACTGACAGTGCTTTCCAGTCATTAATCTCTACCTGCCCATTTGAGCAATAACAGAAGGTAGCTTGCTAACCTTTCATCCTCTACTGGGACACAGTTAAACTAGGCAAGCCCTGACATAGCTCAAGAGGCTCATCGTTGTAATAGCTGATTGATGGGCTCACTATATCTCTGTTAAGCTTTAACAGTTGCCTTCTAAGTCACCCTGAAAACTTAAGAATATTCACCAAGGTTATTTTTGTTTGTTTTTAAAGGCAGAAGTCATGATTTTACAGATCAAGAGAATAGGCTCAGATGTTATATGACTTTCCCAGTGTCACCGCCAACAAGTGGCAGAGACAGGAACTCCAGGTGTGTTACAGTCCAAGATCCTTTTATCAAGAAGGTAGGCAGCACCGAATTTGAAAAGCCCATTTCTTTCTAGGTAACACTACTGGTAAGGCCCCATCTATGAGAACCTCTTCTGTTCCCCAAACACAATGATCAGAACCTCTTCACTCTGCTTTTATCTCTAACACACCACCTGCTTTGGGGTCTGCCTAGGTAACTGGATACTTGTTTGTCTTTTCCTAACACTACCCTAAGGCAAAGTTCTAGAGTTCCACTGCCCAGTATACCGTTCTGCAATGAGAGAAAAGTTAGATATATCTGTGCTGCTTATCACACTAGACATGTGGCTACTGAGCATGTGAAATATGGTTAGTGTGACTAAGGAACTGAATTTTAAATTGTAGCTGTTACCATATAGGACACCACATTCACAGAGAATGGTGTGGCATGAGGGAAAGTTTCTGGAATTTGACTGACTTGGGTCAGATCCTAGCTCTGTCACTCATAAGCCATGTAATCTTGATCCACGTATAAAATGGGGATGACACCGTTTACCTTACAGTATTTTAGGTCCATGAGAGTATGCTTATATACATAAATTATATACATGCACACATACATGCACAGAATATACATGCACACATACATGCACAGATACATGTGTGTCTATATGGAAACTAGAAGCACCTGAGTCAGCTATAGGTCTGTAGAGGTCATTAAACTTGCTCTCACCTTCTACTCTGGTAAATGTGTATATTACATAGAAAATATAACCAGCTCACTCCTTCCCTCCGGAGTGGCAAAGTACTCAATTTCTTATTAATGAGAAACATTTTCTAAACTTGGAAATGACTGCCTCACCTCTCACAGTACAGGTGGAATGGGGAAACATCGATAATTGCCCCCTCCTGTTGCAGCAGAAATGTAGAGGAACACTAGTACAAGTGTTTTCTTTCACTCTCCTCCATCCAGAGATGGTCAACTATGGAACAGTAAGGTTGTGGCTTCCTAAACAGGCTCACCATGCAGCGGAGAGCAACAGCCCCCCACAGGCTGCTGCTTCCTTCACTTCTACAAACAGCTATATAGAAATTTGGCCTCAGAAAAAATAAGTTCCCATTCAAGGTAATGAATTTTGAATATTTTCAGAGTTTCCCAAACAAAATCATTTTGTTTTGGTGAACCCTGAGCTTTTATGAGTAGAAACAAGACTTACCCGTTTGTGCTGTCTTGCGAGTTTTTCTTTAGCTTCATCCAGCTCTTTCTGTATCTTCAGAACGTGTTTGTTCATCTTACGAATTGTAGAGTGCAGGATTTCCCAAACAAACAATCTTAAAGTAAAATGATATTTGTTACTGTATGCTAACCAATGATTACAGAAAATAAGACCTCTCAACTTTTATAACCTACTCATTCTTAAGGTCTGATATATAGCCTTCCACTCTTGAGGCAGAATTAGTCATACTGTCCCCATCAACATTTAAGCACCTATCACTACCCATGAGGCTCAGGAGAACTTCTTGAAGGCAATCCTGGGATCCTGTCATTTTTCTTATTTACATTGCCTCCGAGATACACACATTGAAGAAATGTGGGCATATTCACTGAAATGAAATGGCAAGTCAGAAAAAACATGAACAAAATCACATGTTCTCAAACACTAAATATTGGAATTTTCTTGAAGACCTAATCTGATGTTCATTTTACATGCTTTTTACTATTTAGCACACACTCAGCCAATTCTCTTGGAACATTTAAGAAACTCATTAGTTGACAATAGTTGTAAACTGCTGGGCTTTTAAGAATAAGATAAATATCTTTATGTTGTCTACCTTATCAGCAAATTTCTAAAGTACCAGAATCACCTTGCAGGCGTTTTTAAGTGTCTTCTTAACTGTTATTCTGTCTATAAAGTAGGTCTCCTAACCCCAAGACATAGCATAGAATAGTAGTACTTCCTTGTACAATTTCTGACTTGGATGACAGTTTTAAAAGGAAGATTGTCTTACTATCTGTTTAGAATGTTAGCAGACAGGATAAAAAAGAGTACTTTAACTCTGGAAAGGGTGCGTCAGAAAGAACTTGGCAGAAATAGCTGAGCATGGACAGAGCTCTTGAGCAATGTATCCGTTCAAAAATGCATGTGTTTGAATTCCAGCTCTGCACTTAGCTATACAACTTGGGGCAAGCTACATAAGCACTCTAACGCTTTCTACTTTGTAAAATATAGAGGATAATGTAACCTGTTCTGCAGTGGTGTTTGTAAATGAGCTGCAAATGTAAATCACTCTGGATAATGGATAACACATACTTGCGTGATCACTTTTCCGAAAGTTTGGAAGTCTGTTTTCATTTGTAAATGCCAACTTAGCCAGTATGATAACCTTAGATCACATCCTTTCACCATAAGGACTCAGTTTATTTCAGACCAGTGTCCTCGCCAATAACAGACACAATGAAAAGGATAAATGCTCAGTGCTTAAATTTTTATGTCTTTGCAAGTAATTTTTCTTTGTTCCCTATTTTGTGTTAATTCCTGTTGCCTGAGTCCTGATCAGTTATAAAGACTGGGGGCTTAACTTCATGAATAAGAACCAAACTTAATGAAAAGTCTCTTTCCTTTAAGGGGAAATGGGTGTAGAATGAATCTTCTGGATCCAGGATTTTTATGTCTGAAGTGAGACCTCTCTCACTCAGAGGCATCTGGGTGTCCACCAGGCTTCCCTCACATCTCTCTCTAAAAATGTGTATTTAATGTGACTATTCTTCCAGCTCCTAGTGTGCATTCTAGGTCCCCAACGGAGCTGGAATTCTTTTCCATGTTCCATAGTCTAGCCGAGACCCTGACACACAGCCTGATCTTCTCTCCTAATAATCTAAATCCTTTATCAGCATTTCTACTTGACTAGTTGAGACCTTACATGTGTGTCCCTAAGAGACCCTGCAACCTGACTGGCTGTATTTCCACTGCCCAGGTGTCTGACCATTAGTATATATTAATATCAATCTGGTTTGGATCAAAATTTGGAGCTCAAGTGTAAAAATACATAAAAACCAATTCATAGAGAATAAGAACCTTGTGAAATAATTCATATTACCTAATAAAGTCACGAGATAGTTCTGAAGAGAAGATCCAATTTGCTACTGCAGCACAGTCAACAATCTGCGTACGAATCATCTTGTCTACTAGTACAGCAATCATCTACAACAAGAATTCTTAGGGTAAATCGCACTTATTTGTAGACCATAATAATCCCACTGCTAGAAAAGTAAAATAGAATGGTTGTGGGACTTATTTTGCCTTCTCCTTAGCTTGCAGGAATACTATAACTCCAGTAAAGACTGAGGGGGAAAAAAAAATTAGATAATACCATTCTCATCCTTCAAAAATATAGGAATGTTTTATCATAAAAATCTTAAATATATTCTGAAACTTATTTAAATGCCTCTGTATAACTCATGGCATAAAAACAATATATTAATATTGAAAAATCTGGTGTGTTTTTGCAGAAACTGGAAAGACTGCATAACTATTTTCTACCTTATTGGTAGAATCTTTAAGCAATAAGATTCATACTATTGAAAATGTGTCGAGCTCTGGCTAGTTTGGCTCAGTGGATAGAACGTTGGCCTATGGACTGAAGGTCGCAGGCTCCATTCCAGCGGGGGGCGTGCAGGAGGCAGCTGATCAATGATTCTTACTGATGTTTCTATCTCTCTCTCCCTTTCTCTCTGAAATAAATAAAAAAAAATATTAAAAAAAATGTGTTATAGTCCCAAATCATAATACTTGCTCTTAAAAAACACACAACCAAGTATCATTAATTCACAGCATTAAAAAAATTACATAGATTTGAAAACTATTTTATAAACAGTCAAATGTCATGTTTACAAACTGAAACAATGGTAATAAATAGCCTTGTTTTTATACCCTATACAATCAGAGCCTCAAGATGTCTAAGTAGTTTTTACCTGTGGATGGTTCCTCCAGACCTCAAACATAACTCTGAGAACATGTAATTTTCCTTCATCACTTTCAGCTAGGGTTTTGAAGACTTCATGAAACCTTTTGATAGTGGGAGAAAAAAATACCACATAAAAACTTGTTTGTTAAGCATTATAATGTTTCAAAGTCTTTTCAGTATTAATTTACAGTGCAAAATAACCAAATGTTAACCATTAAGGATATATAGGAAAGGAATGATTAGAAATTCAGTTTGTATAATTTGTCACAAAAATCTTAAGAGATTTACAATATACCATCGTTTGCCTAGGACTACAGTTTACTGTGTATCTAAGAATAAGTGGTCTAAGGAATCATCTCCAAACACAGGTGATGTATTCCGTGTGACTCACCTTCTGTGGGAACCCTGCAATTAACATCGTTGGGATGGGGCAAGGAGGTCAGTTTCTGTTTGGCTGGAGGAAGATTTGTAAACCAACCAAATGGCAGAATGACCTGCTTCTATGACGCACACTGACCACCAGGTGGCAGACACTCAATGCAGGAGATGCCCCCAGGTGGTCAGTGTGCTCACACAGGGAGAGCACCGCTCAACCAGAAACTGGGCTCACAGCTGGCAAGCAGAGAAGCAGTGGCGGAAGCCTCTCTTACCGCCACAGCAGTGCTAAGGATGTCCGACTGCCAGCTTAGTCCTGTTCCTCTCGGGCCAGCAGCCAGGGGAGACTATAATCTTGAGGGCTCCTCAACTACAAGAGGGTGCAGGCCGAGCTTAGGGACCCCCCTCTGAGTGCATGAATTTTGTGCACCAAGCCCCTAGTACTAATATATAGTCAAGAAACTCCCCCCTAGACATCTTCCTAAGGAACTTAAGCAGAAATGAGAGCCCACTGCATTTTTGGGAGCCACCCAAGATTTGGCTTCTAAAGAAAGCTTTCTGACTCATCAGACGGTCCAAAACCAAGTTTTCCACGGGTTTCTCTAAAGGTCTGTATAAAAAACATTCCATGTATATATGCAAACTGTATATACAGATGATAGAAGCCATAGGTCAAGGATTTTAGTTACCACAAACCAAAACCCATCATATCAAGTTACATTGTAATACTAAGATCTTCATAGTTAGCAGATTTAGGTAAAAATGACTATACTGCTGGTATTCAAGACAACTTTAAAACCTAAAGAAAGGGGGCGTGCTCTTGTTGCACTTACTTTGCAAGGGCGCTGAAGGAGTGGCTGAACGATTTGGCTGCCAAATGTAGCAGAGTTTGCACAAAAACCTCTATTTTCAGTGGGTTAAAGCTGAATCCTTCATCTGAAAAATATTCCATAGGAAGACAGAACAACATAAGTTTAGCAATTCCTTAATCCCTTACCTGGAATGCTAAACAGATGGCATGCTCACATCTAAATACTATGTCAGACATCCATGTAACATGTGTGAGTACTAACAGACAATAAAAGACCACCACTGATTTCAAATACTCAAAGATATAAAATTAAGCATAATCCTAATTCTTCATTTTTTGGCTGTTTCCCTAGTTCTTCTATGTGATCCATTTATTTTATAAATACCACATAGATTTCCTTGTTCTTCTCTCTATGATAGCAAGGTGAGTTCTATAATAATAAATGTATGATATTCTGGACGAAGCCAGGGCTGCAAGAGCTGGGCCCTTGGCACAAATTTTGTACATTGGGCCTCTAGAATATCAATAAAAAAAAAAAAATACAGTAAACTCTAAGCACTTCAGGGTCTATGTTCTGACAATGTCTACATTTAATATCATACTTTTGACTTAGGCTTTCTAATTACATTTTCTCTAAAATCCTAAGTGTCTTAGAAAAATCCCAGTAATAAATAACCCAAAGACCATTAATGTTTTATTTTGATTAGCAGCCCTTTTTCTATGCACGTCTTATTCATAGATCTAACAAAAAAATTTTTTTCTCCTGAAATGGTTCCCTAATATCTAGACCTCACTTATTCTTAGATATAAAACATAATATCTGTTTTACTGATTTGTCTGTGTCAATTGTTTGTGTAGTTTTCAAGATATGTTTCACATGTATACAAGGCAAGTCCCTCTCAACACTAGTCTTATCCATTTATTGATTCAAGGAAACTAAGAAATTATTTTGCCAACTTTCCCATTCTTTCCCTCCAAATACCTAGGGTCTTTCACTGGAATTACGTGATAAGTTTAATTTGGAGAAAATATCCAACTTTGTAACACACCAAATCTTCCTGAACCTCTCTAAAGTGAAAGCAGGGACTGCCTAAAAATCTTTCAGTGAAAGTAGTATATTGTGCATTGCATTTATATTATATACATAATCCAAGCAATTTCATAAGGATGTTAGAATCTCTTCATACAAGGGAGAAAATTCCTAGGTACTAGTTACAACTGACAGGCTGAATAGACTTCAAAGGAATATAGAGATTTATGAGCAACTAACGAGATTTAAAAGGAGCTTGTGTTGCCAGAGTTATGTTAATGCTCTAACCTGGCCTATACATAGTTCACTCAAGAAATATTTAATTTCCTTACCGTCATCATCATCCTGGTTCGGATTTGGTACATCTTTCAGAATGCTGAAGATTTCATCACTGGTTGCTTTACTTTTAAAGGCAACAGCTAAACAGAGGGCAACCGAATGTCCAGGAAGAGAATCTAAGCCCAGAATTGGGGGGGGGGGGGGGGGGGGGGAAGAGAAGGATATAGATCAGGTTTTAAGATTATTCTTGCAAATAATTAAATTAACTGAGAAACTAAAAATAATAACCCCCCCCCCCCCAAATAGAATACTCTTTATCCCAAGATGTATTTAATCTGTACAAAGATAACATGTGAAAATTACATTTAATAAGTCAAGGCTTTTTACCTAAAATAAGGCATAATTCTCACTTCAACACTTCCTTAAGAACACTTAGCTAACTGAAATTAACAGTACAAGGGATGTTGATCTTCAGGGATGAGAATGAAGGGAACTGTGAATACAGTTAAATAGTCCTTTGATATCCTCAAGTCCCTAAGCTTCTGTAAGCTGAAAATCTGAGAATCAATGTATTCCTCTTTCATTTTTGTCACTTCGCCTTTCCTGAGATAGAGCAAACTGAGTTTGGGTTTGAACAAGGTGAAAGCCAACTTCAAGTTTTTTCTTTTTCTGAGTCCATACACAAGCCAGATGTTCATGTGCTGTGTTTACTACTGGTTAATGTCTACCAAGTCCTTATTGTATGAAATTTGTGCTTGTGTAAGCTGTAAGACATCACCAGAGCAATACACTTTTAATGTAAGGTAGACAAAGGTAACAATTAAAAAGGAAGTTCTGACATAGAATAGGAATTAGAGGCACTTGGAATGAATAAAGCAAATTACAATAGGTCATATATACTTGGTGCTTTTCCTTAAAACTGGGAGAGAAAATAAATGACAGAAAAAAGAATTCCTGGAACTGAGGTGCCTGTATTTTTAGCTGGGGAATCAAGATATTCACAAAGGAAGCAGCCACAAAGCAACACAAAACTGGCTTGCTAAAGGTTAAAAATATTTAGTCATGAAGGTTGGTCTAGAAGAGTGGTCAGCAAATTGCTGCTCGCGAGCCATATGTGGCTCTTTGGCCCCTTGAGTTTTTAGCAAAGTCCAGCTTAGGAGTACCCTAATTAAGTTAATAACAATGTACCTACCTATATAGTTTAAGAAATTTGGCTCTCAAAAGAAATTTCAATCGTTGTACTGTTGACATTTGGCTCTGTTGACTAATGAGTTTGCGGACCACTGGGCTAGACACTAGGAAGGGAACAGGGTCCAAAGATAGCATGGCTGCTCAGTCAGTAAACCTGGGCTTGGATCTGAGCTCTATCACTCAGAAGCAATCTCACTCTGGCTTTGCCTCTCTGAAGCATTTTCCTCATTGTAAAATTGATATAATAAACATACCTATTTCTCAGTTGTTTTAAGGATTAGAAAATATATTGAGCCACGGGGGTTTATTTCAAGGATAACAGGCATAGTCTGAGGTGTAGGTGGAGAATTAGGAGTGCAGTATAAGGACAAGAGAGAGGAGCAAGTTTTAAAATACAAAGAATCTACGCAACATGATATGGAAGACTCATGGAGGAGTTGTGTTTAGTGTCAAGTGAAAAGACTAACTTGGAAAAACCCCACACCTAACCTTCTACCAGTGATGATTATTGGACACCTTACCTTCATTAAGTGTGAAATACAAAATGGCATATCAAATTATAGTCCCTCTGTCTTATAATGCAATCTCACTGGACAAAATATAGTGTATGTATATATACTGTGTTCCCACACCAGAATTGGTATCAGATGATCAAGTTATCTCCATTACTATGACAAATATACATCTCCATTTTAATAAATTTTGGCTATAAATTCACCTTGCTCTGCTTAGCAATATTTAACATATGTCATGACTATATCATAATAGCCAGTGTTAAAAGAAAAAAGTTACAAGCCAGTAATAATTAAGTATATCACAATGAATCTTCAAAATGACAACAGAGCAGCTCCACCCGGTTTTGCTTCCCTCCCCTCCCCTCCCCTCCCCTCCCCTCCCCTCCCCTCCCCTCCCCTCTCTCTAGATATCAATAGGAAGAATATCCTCGGATGAGGATTAAAAAAAAAAAAAAAAAAAAAAAAAAAGGGCAAATAAAACAATAGTGGCTAGTAACAAATCACATTTCAAATAGAGAAAATATAAACTCAAGAAAGAGTTGACTTTTTCCTCAAATAACTGATGTCAGCGAATACTTGCGTTGTTACTTCTTAAAGACAGGAATTTATTACTTACTGCTACTTTCATCTCCATATTTGTAAATGCAGGTTGGGTTTGCAGGACATAGAGTTGAGAAGGTAGGAGGAACAATATCCAATATACGCTGATGGTAAGACAACCTAAAATACAAATAAGAGCTTCAGAAATATCATTCATCAGTTCCATTCCTCATTAACATCCAACTTATTTGGAAAGTCACAATCTCCAGCACCCTCCAAGTACAATGCCAACTAATAAAAGAAGGAACAATGGAAAAAGAGAAACATCACTTAGCGATCATCATAAAGGTGGCAGGTAAAGAGTTGCCAGTAGAGGTTTGGTGAATAGGGTGGTGTGGAGGTTTGATGAATAGGATAAGTATAACCTCAGAATATTTACTACAAAAAAATCAATTACAAAGGGAAAAATGGTGAATTTAGGTGGAAAAGCCCGGCAGATAGACATATCTCCAGTGGTGGGATGCACTGTGAAGAGCAACAACAATGTAAGACTTGATTCTGGCCATGAGGACACAGCAGGGCGACCAAGAAAGTGAGGCCTAGATTCTTTAAAACTGATAAGGACATGAAAAATAGAATAATAACTGTTCACGATTGAGAAATGTGAAGATAATGACAGCAAATACTACATGTGTAATGACAGCAAATACTACATGTGTTCCTGGATAGGATTCTGAACCAGAAAGGAAAAAGGGAATTGTTAGAATAGCTGGTAAAATTTCAGCATTCGTGGACTGTATGGTAGTATCTGTACCAGAGCTGATTTCCAGATTTGAAAGGTGGTATGGTGATTGTCTTTGTTTTGGGGAAATATACAATGGATTGTTAAAGGTGATGAGATGTTATCTGTAGCTTGTTTCCAAAAGGTTCAGAAAAAGACCAGTGAATAGTGTACACATAGAGGAGAAAAAGGAGAATTAGAAAAAATATGGTAAGATGTTAATGAGGAAATCTGGATGAATAAGAGTTCTTAGTATATTTTTCCCAAATAACAAAACAACTTTTTGGCTTAATTCACACAAAAACCAAATGTTATAGTTGTCTAATTTTTTCAGCTTACATCTTGATTAAAAACTAGCAAGGAAGAGATGTAGGTAGTTGAGTTTTAAAAATTACATTCTGGACATATACCACAAATGCAGAAGAGAGAAAAATCCTACCACAAAAATTAGGAGACTTAAGAAGAAAACACAAAGAACTTACCTCATACATTTTTCTAGAACTTCTTTTACAAACTTTGGTTTGGGACTATCAGGATCTTGAGTAAGACAATCTGACCTAATGAGTAAACATAGTTTTAGAAGTTCTTACATAGAATCTGTACTTATTCCTAACTTGTACTTAGCTAAAAATAGATTCCTTCTACCTAAATTATTTCATTTATGTATTTAAATATAAAAAAATTAAATATTTTAGACCATGAAGACTTTTTATGTTATAGTTTTAAATATTAACAGTATCACTGAAACTGGTTTGGCCAAGTGGATAGAGCGTTGGCCTGCGGACTGAAAGGTCGGTCCCAGGTTCGATTCCGGTCAAGGGCATGTACCTGGGTTGCGGGCACATCCCCAGTAGGGGGCGTGCAAGAGGCAGCTGATCGATGTTTCTAACTCTGTATCTCTCTCTCTTCCTCTCTGAAAAATCAATAAAATATATTAAAAAATATTAACAGTATCTTTAAAATTAAGGTAGATTGTAGAGAAAGGAAAAGCTAAAATATAATACCACTTACCAATCTTCCCAGCTCCAACGGAACTGGAAGTTACTTAGATGATGGGAAAACCAATTAATAAACCTATACAGAGAAGAGGGAGAAAGGAACACAAAAAAATGAATGGTTACAATTTATACCAGAAACTTATGAAATCCTTCAGACAAATAAAACCCTATGTTATAGAGTTAAGTTACAAGCATATACCCCTACCTATAGCTGTATCTTCTGCTACTTATCCTTTTCTCTGCAAATCCTGTACCTCATCTTCTTAAAAATATAACAATTTCCTAACTCACTCCTTTTTTAGGTGAATAATAGATATGACTTAAGTGCCTATTTTGTGCCAGGCACCTTATATGTTTTATTATTTAATAATTTCTGAGGAGTATATTATTTTTCTCATTACTTAAAAGTGGCAAAAAAAAGATTAAATGGCAGATAAAACATTTTATAAATGGTAGAGCCAAAGCATTGTTTTTTACCATCACGACCATAACTTCACCACAAACACAAAATATACCTCTGAAGCTCCCTTGTCTCTAAAAATATATCTACTCTAGATAGGGATCACCTTAGCAAACTGTATAATGCTGTGATGATTTTAAGAGCCCAATAAATATTTGCTGAATGAATAGCATAAATGGGATGCCAAATACAACTGGTAGTTTTACTAATTAAACTGGGGGAGAAAAATCAGAAGACACTTTCCTAAAGTACATCTCTCATGTAGCTATTAACTTCAGTCACTGAAATTAATTAAGATAATAGGCCAAGGACACAGAATAGCCCTTACTGATAATTTTCAGATATGGAATTTGAATAATGGACAAAACCTGTCCTGATCTGATTTGAGAAGCTGACAAAGGTAAGAAAGATGGTATATAGATCTCATTCAAAAGAAGACGGGGCATGCAATGGCCACAGCCATAAAAATCCAACATAGTCATTTGTATAAACAGTCTTGAAGCTGGAGTTACTGTATGTTAAAGCTAATTATTTTAGAAACAGAAACTATATCTAAATAAAAATATATGTGCTTATAATAAATATATAGTATTGGACTCTATTACTACATAGAGGTTAGCATAAAGTCTATTATAAAAGCTTACATACCCAATAGCAGTGGGAAAAGTGTAACTGTACCAAAGTAAACAATGAATGAAATTAAAGAAACCTTAGCACGGGCATCATTTCCTACTGAAAATTAGAATAAAAAGTCTAATGTGATAATTACAAGTATGAGGCGTGTTTTTTTTTAATTTAAACATTTTTTTAAAAATGTACATACAAAAGGTTATTTTGGGGAGGCAAGAAAAATCAACTTGGAAATTCTTAAAAAGGCAAATCAAATTCTTTTATAAAGCACAAGGAGAACTGGTTAACAACCAGTATAGAAATTAGACAATTACTGTACCTGTCTACACATGTAGTATTCATCGTGTCCAAACGCATATATAACATTTCAGTTGCTTGCGCAAGCTATAAATTTGAGGATAAGGAAAACTATTCTCCACCCTCCTTCAAAATAAGTTGTGATAGAAAAAATAAATAGCATTTCCTACAAGTCTGTATAATGACTGCTAAGGTTGAAACATTTTTTTCATGTAACTGATCTTTATAAAAATAGCTTTGAGGTATCAATGTACAATAAATTTGACCTGTATACAACTATACAAGTCAAGATAATGAACACTTACATCACTTCCAAAACTTCTCCATGTTCCTTTGTAATCCATTCTCCCTTCTTCCCACCCTTACCCATGCTCCCAAGCAAATATTGGGATTATCACTAGATCACTTTGCATTTTCTAGAATTTTGTGTAAATAGAATCACTTAGTATTAATTATTTGGATTTTTTTTTTTTTTAAATCCTTAACCAAGGACATGTTCCTATTGATTTTAGGAAGAAAAGGGGGAAAGGAGGAAGGAAAAGTTAGAAGGGGAGGGAGAAGGGGGAGAGACACAGAGATAGAGATAGAAATATAGAGATAGAGAAAGTAACATTATTAGCTATCTCCTGAATTTGCCCTGACCTGAGACTTAACCTGAAACTTAGGTATGTGCCCCCACAGTGAATCAAATCCACAACCCTCTGGTGCATGGCACGAAGCTCCAATCAACCAAGTCACCCACTTAGGGCTGTTTGGTGTTTTTTACTCAGCATAATTATTTTATAATTGATTCATGTTACTGCAGGCATCAAAAACTTGTTTTTTATGATGGAGTAGTATTCCATTGTAAAGGCATAACAAAATTTGTTAATTTACTCATATATTGATGAGTATTTGGACTTTCAGTTTAAGGTTATTAGTAATAAAGTATCTATGAACATTAATGCCTACAGTCTTTGTATAGACTTGTGCTTCCATTTCTCTTGGATAAATACCTGAGTGGAATGGCTAAACGGCATAGTACACATATGTTTAACTTAAAAAAAAAAAGTCAAACTGTTTTCATGAAGTGATTTAAACCTACTAGCAGAACTATTTGGTAATCTTTTAAAGCTAGGCCAACAAGAATAAATTTAAAAACAAAGGAAAGGATACAACTTGGGGTAGAGAGCCAGGCTGAAGTTTGCACAGTTCAATGAGAAGTGTTGTGTACATCACATCAATGTGAGGGGGTGCTGGAAGTTGAAACAGCTCTGCAAAGATCACCTACAAAAGAATCAGGAGTCAGAACTCAATTCAACAGCTAACTATGCACGTTTATTAGAAATACCTCACTATTCTAAACATAAACTCTAACTCCATGACATTTATAATTAAAGAATCACTTTTTTGTTTTGGTTAATCCTCATCTGAGGATATTTTTTCCATTGATTTTTAGAGGCGGGGAGGGAAGAAGAGAGAGAAACGTTCAATTGAAAGAGACACATTGATTGGTTGCCTCCCACAAGCATCTGGGGCTGGGAACCAAACCTGCAACCCAGGTGCTCGGCTGGCCCTCTAACCCCTGAGCACAATGGCCAGGACAAGAATTACTTTCACCTTTAATGAAAATTTCTTCTCTGTGTAACTCATTCAGATAAGAATATGCAAATACAGTATACCCTCAATTTTGTGGATCTTGATTTAACAGACTTCGAATTTCATGGACAATTTTTGGTCTCTATGTCATATGTGAAAATTAACACTCTACTAATTTAAAAAAGCTTTTAACCAAGCATTATATTATTAATGAACAGGTTTTTTTTTTGTTATTAGTTCATAGTTATTATTTTTAAAAATATTTTCATTGATTTCAGAAAGAAGGAGAGGAAGGGAGAGATAGAAACATCAAACATGAGAGAGAATCGTCAATTGGGTCTCCTGCAAACCTCCCTACTGGGGATTGAGCCCAAAACCAGGAATGTGCCCTGACAGGGAATCAAATCAGGGTCCTTCTGGTTCTGAGCCACACCAGCTGGGCTAATTTATGGTTATTTATAACAAATTTCAGCAAATAGGCCTTATGTTGGAAAAACATTATAGTAATTTTACTGACATAAATATTATATCTCTACAACTATAATCTACATATTTAAATCAAAGAATCACTGCTCTAAAAAATGTTCTGCAAATGTATGTGATCACACCACAGTGCTCAAGGTAACTGGTTCTGTTGTCCTGGGGCGTGACTTTCTGCAGTAGTTTTAACTTGTGCCAGCCCATGTTTAGTAGTGCCCCAGCCATGTGCACGCATGCATTTACTAAACCTATTCAGTATAAATTTAAAATTACAGTAACACATACAGAAAACTTTTCTGTGAAATAAAAATTTCCATACATACTTAATTTTAATTACACAAACATGTCTGTAGAAGTAAAAAGAGGTAAACTAATTGTCAATTTTTAAGATATATATATATATATATATATATATACATATGTTTTTAAATATATATATATATATATTTATTTTAGAGAGGAAGGGAGAGGGAGAAATAGAAACATCAATGATGAGAGAATAATTGACTAACTGCCTCCTACACGCCCACACTAGGGATTGAGTCCATAACCCAGGCATCTGCCCTGACTGGGAACAGAACCGTGACCTCCTGGTTCATGGGTCAACACTCATCCACTGAGCTACACCGGCCAGGCTAATTTGTCAAAAAAAATATTTTTAAATATATTTTTATTGATTTCAGAGAGAAAGAGAGAGGGAGAAAGAAATAGAAACATCAATGATGAAAGAGAATCATTGATCAGCTGCCTCTTGCAAGCCCCCTACTGGGGATCATGACCACAACCTGGGCATGTGCCTTTGACTGGAACCCAACCCAGATCCTTCAATCCGTTGGCTGACACTCTATCCACTGAGCCAAACCAAATTTTTTTTTTCAAATTTTTAACGTACACATTTTGAAAACCTATATAACAGACTTTCAGCTTTAATTGACACCTCCCTCACCCAAATTAATCCATTATATTGAGTTTTTACTATTATTAGGGCTTATTTGATAATCCCAGAGAACCATGTAATTAAATTCCAACTTGAAGTATGGGAGGCACATATCTATCAATTTTTTTTCTAATAAATTAAGTAGTAAAAACTCTTATGAGACTGAGGATGCAAATGGACAATAGTCATGTCATTCCACTTTGCTACTGGAAACTGGTGACCACAAACCTTTCTGATAATCCAGGCATTGGCCATGCTACTTGTTCAGAAACTTGTTTCCACCTCCCTTGTGTGGACCACATACCAAGAATTCTAAAGCCTGATCCACGTTCCTTCCTCTGCCTCTTCTCTCCACACTTCCGTATGGCTATTGTTTCAACCTCCTCTCTTCTCTGTATATAAACAGCAATTTCCTCGCTTCGTTAACTTTTAAAAAAAATATATTTTATTGATTTTTTACAGAGAGGAAAAGAGAGGGATAGAGAGTTAGAAACATTGATGAGAGAGAATCATCGATTGGCTGCCTCTTGCACACCCCCTACTGGGGATGTGCCCACAATCAAGGTACATGACCTTGACTGGAATTGAACCTGGGACCTTTCAGTCCACAGGCCAACACTCAATCCACTGAGCCAAACCAGTTTCGGCATCTGTTAACTTTAAATACCTGACAAGTAGCAAGAAAAGAAACAATAAGCCAAGAGTACATTAATACTTTTAAGTCAATAGAAAGATTCTGAGACTCACAAACAAGCTCCACGTAGAATGCATACCTCAACTATATGGTAGTTTAAGGGGATCTTGTTCTTCCCAGGATAGCTCACCAGCTGAGCGGCGCTGTAAAAGGAATAACTTAAGTTCAGTAAGTATACAAAGATACATGAACCATCAAATAGTTTGAAAGCAGTTGCTTAGATATAAGGGAAGGAAGTCTTTTCTGGAACTTTCTAGATTTCAATTACTTCATTATAGCACAGATTATTTTATCACAAGAAAAATTTTTTAATGCATCCAAAACTCCTTGAAAGGTCAGGACCTTAGGTGATAATACTAAGGAAGTATATTCAATAAACTAACTGAAAAAGTTTTAATACGGCAGGCCACTCCCAAAAGACTATGCTCCTTTCCACCTTAAAATCTAAACCAAACTTTCCAAAGTCTAAGGAAATATTAAAAGTAAACTTTTCCTAAGCTAAATGTCGAAATGCTATAATAGAAAACACAGCAAAACCATTAGTATTAATTTATTTCCATAATATTCACACCAAATATATTGTCATTCAAATTTGTCCATAGCATATTACAAATGTCCACACAAAAAGCCGACATCATATGCATTATTATAAAGCACTCAGAAAAGTACTATTTTGAGAAAGCAAAGTAGATTGGTCTTAGCAAGACAGGGTGTCAGAAGATTTTTTCTTATACTCGTAACATACATTTTTGCTCTTATCAACTTATCTACATTGCTACATTTTCTCCACTCTAAAAGTAACATGAAAAGAACCTTACCAAGTATTTCTTTCCTTCCAGTGGGACTTAATGATGCAGTGAAGATTCTCTTCTATTACAAATCTTTCCACGGAATGACTCCCTGGCATTACAGGACCCTGGAAAGAAAACCAAATGTATATATTACAGACCTAAAAAAATATATTTTCTTTCATTTATTCAACAAATATTTTAGACATTATGTTTGATACTATATTGGGTGCTGGGAATAAAAGTGTGAAAACTTTGTATTTTCAGCAAATATAGTCATATTCACTTACAACAAAATGAGTGTCAGCTGCAGTATTTCTTCTATACCTCTGACACCACACTCTCATAGCCCACCTCAATTCTTATGTGAGACAAAATAATTGTTGTACATCATTAGCTCTATACTGTTTATGATTTTAAACTATAATGGTGGACTACTTCCATAATAAACATGGAGAGAACATTTTTATTTCAAATACCATATAGACATAACTATGGCTTGGATATTGAACCAATGGCTGCTTAGGAGGCAGAACTTTTGATGCTTACTGGCATAGAAACCAACCAATCAGAACCAAATTGGCCTGCAGGGAAGGGCAATTAGGGGTGATCACAGGCAGGCAGGTGAGCAGTTAGGAGCCAAGGGCCCCAGATTGTGAGAGGGATGTCTGATTGTAGAGGATACATACTGGGTTCTCGAACTTACTCTCTATCTTTTTTTTAATCCTCACCCAAGGATATGTTTTTTATTGATTTTGAGAGATGAAGGGAGAGAAACATCTATGTAAGAGAAAAACATTGACTGGTTGCCACCTGTAATGCCCTGACCAGGGACTGAACTAGAAATCTTGGCATGTACCCTGATCAGAATCAAACCTGTAGCCTTTTTGGGTACAGGTACAATGCTCCAACCAACTGAGCCACCTGGCCAGGGCTCAAATTTACTCTCTTTAATTTCACCCTGTGCTTTCTCTTAATCTATATAGACATGTTAAATATAATTTCTTGCATAATGAAGTGATAACATTCACTAAATTAAACTGTTAACTTCATTGCTACAGACCTCTTAGGTAATAAACTCAAAATTTAAATGTGTCACAGGCATAATTCAATTAAACCATAAATACAATGCAGCACATTGTATTTGACAGGAACTTTTAATTGGTCACCTACCTCAGGATCATCCGTGTAGTCAAACATTCTGAAGATGACCCTTGGCATTGGGTATACTGAATCCTCAGTGTGAGGAGGTGGTGTAAAAGGAGGCAGATTGTGCTGCAATGCTTCACACAGGATGCTGTCAAAGGCAAGATAAGGTCTTAGGATGTGCCGCTCCTGCCAGCGATCCTTTTTCAATTTCTGAATCTGGGCCCACAGGCAATCTAAATACTAAAGACATTAATTTTTAATAATTAATATATATTTGGAGGCTAGAAGAAATAACATGTTCAGTAGACAAAATCAAAAATCACTATTTCTAAAATATAGGATATAGAAAAGCAAGCTAACTTTCAATTAAATATAGTACAAATGAATAAAGGAATAGTGTTTTGTTTTAATGATTTTATAAAGTCAGTATCTGTCTGAAGCTGTCAGTTCTTCAAATTTAGCATTTAAGTAAAAAAAAAAAAAAAAAAAAAAAAGTCAACTTTATGATAGCTGGAATTCTCCAGAACAGGCCATGTTTCAATTACATTCGAACATTTATTAAATATCCACTATATGCCCAGGGCTATGAGGAAGTGGGTCCATGATAGGAAATGTGGAAACCTAGCTAAGGTATATAAATGGAATGTCCTGAATAACAACATATAAGAATCTACTCAAGAGCTGAATGTCCCTATATCTCAAGAGACCGAAATTAATTTACCTCTTCCTGTGGATGTGGCTTCTCAGCAGTCCACACTTGTAACATGGGCACATGAGTCTTTTGGCGTCTTCTAAAGACAAAATGAAAATCTACTTTTTAGGTTTTTAAAAACATGAAAAGATGTTCAGTTGCAATGCCATTTCTAAGAATTCATGTCTCCCACAAATATATTTGCACATGTATACAAGACATTTGTACAAGGATATTCACTGAAACATTTGTTTATAATGCAAGAGACTGGAAATAACCTAAATATCTCCAACTTGGAACTAAAGAAATGATGGCACATTAAAAGAGTGAAATATTGTACAACTATTAAGAAGAATGAGGTAGAGCTATATGTGTTTATGCAAAAAAATCCTAAGTTATTAATATATTAAGCGGTAAGGAAGCAAGAAAAGAAGAGTGTGCATATTGGACTACCATATGGATAAAAAAGGGGGAAGGACATATACCAGCACTTAAATGCTAGAATATTCATACATTTTAATTTTTATTCTTTGGCAAGCATCTACTACATTTTTAAAGAAAAACAGTCAAACTTTTCAAAAATATAAAAACATTTTCAAAATCTAACATTAAAAGGTAGCTTAACATGATAAAAAAACAGATTTCTATCCTTAGACTTCTTAGCTTTATTTGTAACTGACTAAGTAAATATTAACAATATCCAAAGAAATATCTATGAATAGACAGAAAATGAAACTTGTAACAAACATGTTTTGAAAAATGTAAGAGGCACAAAATAAGAACCTACCTACCAAGTAATTAAGCCTAAGTTTACTAATAACTCCTATTTTTAGTATTAAAGGGTAAGGACCACTGTTATAAGGACTTGGTTTAGGATTTACCAACCTGAAATACATTGTATGTTCCCCACTGTGAAATAAATTAATAATAAAGATGTCCAAACCTCTAAAATATTGTGAGTCAGTAGGCCTGGGGGCTGGGTTTAGATCATTCTTAAGTACCACAGTAAATCTTAGACACATTAGTATCTGGAACCACTGTGTTAACATGTTTTATGCCTTTGCAATATGTACAAGAGTAGCTTAAAAGCAGCTATGTTACCTACTGCTTCGTTTTTGCTTGAACGAAGTAGGGATATGAGATTACCTAGAGAAAGCATTAGGAAACTCCACAGCTTATTTTTGAGAAATGCAATTCACATGGTATTACTAAAACAGATAACACATAAAACACTTATGATATCGGGAAGGTGTTCTTTACTTAAACAAAGAGAACTATGAATTGTGCCCTTACTTAAGATAGCTTTCAGTGTTGGCAAAGATGCGGTCCATCTCTGCATCTTTCTTCTCATACAATTCTTTTCCAACCCAGGGCAGAGATGACAGAAATGCATAGACATACCAATCCCGTCGCACCTAAAGAATTTTTTAAAAGTTAGGTTTAAAACATGTCCTAGTTAATTATCATGCATATTGTATTCTTGAATGAAATCCTGTGAAAGCTATTTAACAGGACTTAAGACATTTGTTTCATTCAGAGCACTTCTAGGTATTTTAGTTTGACTAGACAGAATCCTTTAACATAGAGGTCATAAGAACCTATCAGACTTAACTTTTAGATATTAAGAATTTATAGCATAATTTACTATTACCTTTTCAAGTAAATAATTTTTACTTTATGAGAGGTTAAAATGAAAACCACTGACAGCTTCAATTTGTATTATATGTATGTTTTTTAAACTTAAAAAAAAAAGAGCTATAAGCATTAAAAACATTATTTTAAAAGAGTTACCAGTCAAGCCGAGACCGGTTTGGCTCAATGGATAGAGCGTCGGCTTGGGGACTGAAAGGTCCCGGGTTCGATTCCGGTCAAGGGCATGTACCTTGGTTGCGGGCATATCCCCAGTAGGGGGTGTGCAAGAGGCAGCTGGTCGATGACTCTCTCATCGATGTTTCTATCTATCTCTCTCCCTTCCTCTCTGTACAAAATCAATAAAATATATATTAAAAATAAAATAAAATAAAAAAAAAAAAAAAAAAAAAAATAAAAGAGTTACCAGTCAAAAATTCCTGGTACTATATGGATAAGACTCAGCATAAGGAGTTTTCTTACCTGAGGTACATCCTCTTCCTGAGTTACACTTACAAAATTTTCGAACATAGCAACCATTGATGGGGCTGCAATGACGTGACAATTCACAAGATCAGATAAAAAACGAACCTGTTGGAGAAAACAGTTTCTACTAAATTGAAATGTCCCTTATAATAACTACAAAACAAACTTGGAAGGTGCAAGCCACAGGTCTAAAAAACTCGAGCCCAAGGGCCTAATCTAGTCTGTTTTTATTTATGTTTTTTTTTTTGTTTCTTTCATAGCCTATGGACTAAGAATAATTTTCATATATTTAAATGCTTGAAAAAGATCCAAAAGAATACTTTGACTTACATAAATTATATAAAATTAAATTTCAGTGCCCACAAGTAAATGTTTACTGGAACACAATCATACTCATGTGTTTACATATTGTCTATGGTTGCTTCTGTGCTACAATAGGAGAGTTGAGTAACTGTGTCTGAGATTTTATGAAGGACAGGAATCTGTGCATTTATAGGTTTCCATTCTATACTATATAAGAACCTAGACTGTGATATTCTATCTTCTTCAATGTATAATCTTTTTTAATGGCTGTGATGCTGCAAAAACCAAAAGATGTAAAGAATCACATATTGCTGAAACCAGTTTGGCTCAGTGGATAGAGCTTAAGTTTGTGGACTGAAAGGTCCCAGGTTCGATTCTGGTCAAGGGCATGTACTTTGGTTGTGGGCACATCCCCGGTGGGGGGTGTGCAGGAGGCAGCTAGTCGATGATTCTCTTTCATCGATGTTTCTGGCTATCTATCCCTTTCCCTTGCTCTCTGTGAAAAATCAATAAAATATATTAAAAAAAAGAAAAAAGAATCACATATTATAGAGAGAAAAACTAGGATTAAGAAGTTAAGAAACTACTGAATTTGGTAATGAACTCTGTGGTACCTTTAAAGAGAACAGTTTCAAAGAGCAAGTTACTGTGATTAGTGTGGAACTGTATTTCAAGGGAAATGACAAATTATTTTATGATAATTCACCTCCATCCCTGTCGTTTCTTTCTTTCTTTCTTTCTTTTTAATATATTTTTATTGATTTTCAGAGAGGGAGGAAGAGGGAGAGAAAGAAACATCAATGATGAGAGAGAATAATTGATCGGTTGCCTCCTGCATGCCCCAACCCCCAAACTGGGCATGTGCCCTTGACCAGAATCAAACCTGGGACCCTTCATTCTGCAGATCAACGCTCTATCCACTGAACCAAACCAGTTAGGGCAATCCCTATCTCAATATACCAAAAACAAACAAAAAGCACACCCTCCCTTTAAAAACCTCATAAAACTTACCAAATACACAGCTTCATTATAATTGTTTGCTTTCAAAGATTCTTTAAGTTGACGAATCATGGCTTCTACAAATTCTCCACCAAAGTTGTAATTCCTGGCATTCAGCAATCCAACTAATGTTGTATAAATTGTCAACTTCTCAGGTAACAGACGTGCACTGATTTGAAAACCCAGTACAAGAAGAAAACCCCAAGACAAGCATTGTGTTAAGTTGCTGAATTTTGTATTACATAAACATTTTATCATTTTATGAATTTGGGAACAGGATTACTTCGGCTGTTTTCAAAACTACTTCAGAAAAGGCATAAAATTTGAGAAGAGTTGCTAACATGGCCCCCATAATTTTTCATTTTAATTCTAATTAGTTAATCCAAGAGTTAAAAAAATAATGCACTATAATTATGAAGTTGCCATACAGAAAAAAATATATAACCAGTTTTTAATCCAACATTTTTAGTGCAACTGAATAGCAATTCCATACAAAAGTTTTCATGGTAAAATATCTGGGAAATACCAAGTCAAAAAGTTTCTTTAATGCAGAATCATTAAGGGGGAGATTCAGCATTTCTAAACTTAGCTAACCAAATGTCATAACATCAAAATGCCATTTTGAGAAACACTATTCAGAACTAAAACTAATTTCAAACAAGCTTCTACAGTTAAATTATTGAATTTTTGAAATTTTAAAATGGTACTCTGATATAGTAAATTTCTTTATATCCCAGTTTGCATACTCCAAGTGTGTTAATTTTCATTAAAGTTATTTGAAAAGAAGAAAAGAGGATTACAGTAATAAACATTTGGAAAAAGCAAATGTTACTTCCTAATTTAGACAACCTTTAGAAATTAGCTAAAATGAAAAGCAACTAGGAACTCATGATTATTCAGATTCTCACCTATTTCCCCCACCCTGTTTTTCTAAGGTACCTAGCAGAGAAGGGCAATTTAGGTTAAAAAAAAAAAAAAAAAAAATCTTTCCATTGATAGTAATCCCTGCACTCATAAAAAAGTCATGACTTGCCGAAACCGGTTTAGCTCAATGGATAGAGCGTCGGCTTGGGGACTGAAAGGTCCCGGGTTCGATTCCGGTCAAGGGCATGTACCTTGGTTGCGGGCAAATCCCCAGTAGGAGGTGTGCAAGAGGCAGCTGATCGATGACTCTCATCAATGTTTCTAACTATCTCTCTCCCTTTCTCTCTGTACAAAATCAATAAAATATATTTTAAAAATAAATAAATAAATAAATAAATAAATAAAAATAAAGAAGTCATGACTCATCTGAGTCTAAGCATAAATCTACTCAATTCTAGCAAATGCTTGCAAAACAGAAGACATCTTATGGGTAACTATAGCAAACTGATTTTTCTTAGTTTCTTAGTCCAAGAACATACCTTCTTGAATACTAACTGGATTCCTTTGAAAAATTATAAGTGAAATTTTTACTTTATGAGAGGTTAAATGAAAACCATTGACTGTTTCAACTTGTATATACTTTTTAAAAAAATGAGCTATAAGCATTAAAAACAATTTAAAATAACTGAAATGATAACTTATAAGTCACCTTCATAATTCAATAATACCTAGATAATTTATAATATATAATAATAAAAGCATAATATGCTAATTAGACCAGACATCCTTTTGGAAGTCCTTCCCGACCAAGCTGTGGTGGGTGGGGGCAGAGGCAGAGTTTGTGCACTGGGCCTCTAGTTTCACATAAAGTACAAAGATCCATTAATCCAAAAGTCATAGCTACTTCTTTCAAGGCATACGATTCAGTCTGTTTGAGAGATGAAAAAGTCTAGATTGCTAATTCCACCACTGAAGGGTTGCATGATTCCACGCTAGACTTTTCTCACTCTAATTTCCTCACAAATTAAATGCTGATACTTGTTCTAGCTAATCTAACTCAGAAAGATTATGCCTAATAATACTTCAAAAGCTTCTCAACCTTCCAAGAATTACTTTGATTAATTCTCAAATTTGGTAAAATACAAGTTAAATTCTATTATATATATTTAAATGTACATGCTTAAAAGAAAATCTCTGAATGTGAAAGTATCTACTTCCTCACTTAAAAATAGTTAACTCAAGTGATTCTCAGGTTGCAAGAAACAAAACATAAGGAAAATGCTCAATTTTAGTTCTATCTACCTCTGAGAACAAGAGTTAACCAAAGGCCACAGGCCACTTCATTTGTACAAATTCCCCAAAAGAAGGAAAGCTGATCACATATAGAACATACACATTTTTTAACATTTCCCAAAGCATTTAAGAGTAGATAATACATTATCACCTGGATTCATAAATCTTTTGCATACATACACTGTACAAAGAAGCCTTAAGATCTTGCTCTTGTAGTTAGGAATATCAGCTTCCAAAACACCAGCCAAGCCTTCCAGGTTGCTCTCCAAAGAGCAGGCACTCTGTGGAGAACAGCATATTACATATTTGTTAAGTACTTAGCAAGTACTAAGTTAAAATTTTCTAGGTGATCATAAAAAAAAAGTTAAAATGTTACACACAAGGCACTAAGACAGGTTTAATATAAATCAATTCCGGTAGTTACTGGTTTTTTTGTTTTGTTTTTTTTTAGAAATCCATGAAAAGTGAGTAAAAATTTAAAAGTAAGCAATCTAAGATAGGAGAGTAATTATTAGAAATGAGGTCATCACAGGTCTATTCTATTTCTCTAATTCACTTCCTATATGACACTGGGCAAATTACCTTAAGTATCCGGGATTTATTTGGCTCATTTATAAACTGAGAGACTATTTCCTAAAATGTCTTAAGACTCATATTCTATGAAAAGTGCTAAAAACATTTATTCTTAATTATTTGCATCTCAGTGTTTTAAATGTGCATACTCTGGGATATAGAGACATGGCAATACATATAAGCTTTCCCTAAAACAGACCAAAGTACTGTCAATTACAACCCTAAGCCCATCACAGTTTGTACTTATTTTGGTGCATACCTTTTCTCCTACTTTGCATATTAAAGATTCCAAATGATCTTCAGTTTCATTTGTATCAGAGGTCTTTCTCCTTTTGTGAGGTTGTCCCCCTGTTTCAACAACATAAAAAATTAACATTATGTGATAAATTCGCTGTCACAAATTTCATTTAACTTTTTAAATGCTATACTATAGTCCTTTTTCTACCAGAAGCCCTACTTTTACATATAGTAAAACTCTTAACTGGTCCTCCACTTCTCAAATTAGGCTGGATTAACTAACAGTCTCCATACCCAGGGCTACTATAATTCTAGGAGGCATTATTTATGTTAAATTTTGTGTAAAAGGTGCCCCACAAATGATGAATGCAGCAGCCCTCTGCATTTTTGCGCATGCACAGGGATGGTGCTATCCACTGGCAGACAGAGCACTGTCCAACATCATGTATTGTTACTTCCCTTCTTTACGTTTGAGTTGTTTATTATTCCTCAATTGCCTATTCTTAAAACCTGTTAGTGCTAGCAATACTCATTGTAATAATAAAATTATTATGTAAGCTGATAAAATATGGTACAAAACCTAACTGAAGCTTTGGAAAGACTTGATTAGAAAATAAAGCTTTTATATTAGGTATGAAGAGGAAAACTTCAATAGATGAGTAAAGGAGAATAAAATATTAGAATTCCTCACAAGCTTTACAAAAATCTGAACTCTTAATTCTTCTATTAATAGTTTTGGTTCTGTAGACTATGCAGCACTAAGGTACAGTTTACTCCAAGCAATGGGAATTACAACCAGACATATATACTCAAAGAAAGTCCTCAGCACTCTACCAAATAATTGGTGGGGGAAAAGTATGTTTTATAATTCCACGATTTAATTATTGATCCTATCCCCCACCTTCATTTCTAAGAATCAATAAAACATTCTTGTGTGAGGATTAAAATAAAACCATAATATACTGATCTCATGTCCTTTTGTGGAATAACATACCATACACTTAAAAAATTTAAAATTAATATTGCTAAGTATGGTACATAATGCTGATGCTACACATAATGCTGGCTAATCTTCATACTACATAGAGTATGATTTTTAGTGAGAGGAAGGGAGAAGGCTAGAGAGATAGAAACATCATCAATCTGCTGCCTCCTGCACACCCTCCATATGGGATCAAGCCCACAATCCCAGCATATGCCCTGACCAGAATCAAACAGTGACTTCTTGGTTCCCGGGTTGATGCTCAACCACTGAGCCACACCAGCTTGGTCATAATTTAATTTTGAACTTCCAACAATTAGATTATTAGATAGCATATAAACAAGGAGCAGTAGTCTGTAACTGTGCTGGGGATCTGTATTATAATAGTAATGAAAATCTGCAGTTGGTTATATGGTTACCCAGAAGCAAGTTATAACACAACTTCAATCTTCTCCAGACTTGTATGGCCTAAAGAACTAAGCCATTTTTACAAAGTTCATAATCACTTGCCATGGGACCATTTGGCTTGAAATATATGGTGATTATCATAAAACACAGCATTTGGCTATTTGAAGCTCAGGGTGTTAAAGTTGTTCAGTGATTGAAATGGTCATTGTTTTGCATCCTCTTAAATGTTATGCTGAATAAAACCAACTTATTACTACCCAGGTAGGATCAAATGTAAAGACCAAGGGTAAAGCACTGTGTCTTGACTCCTCCACCCTTTAGTCATCATTATGATCTGACTTAAATAACTACTGAATACAATTTTGAAGGTATAATGCCATAAAAAAACACAATATGCATGCAGTATGACAGCTGAGATATATTCTTGGGAGACATCTTCCTGTGTAAAGCTGTGGACATGTGTGGCATTTTGAGATCAGCGATCTTGATTCTTTTGGTTAATCCTCACCCAAGGATATTTTTTCCATTGATTTTTTAGAGAATGGAAGGGAGGGGGAGAGAGAGAGAGAGAAACATCAATATGAGACACATCAACTGGTTGCCTTCCATGGATTGAGCCTGCAACTTGAGGTATGTGCCCTTGACCGGAATCAAACACACAACACTTCAGTCCACAGGCTGACACTCTAACCACTGAACCAAACCGGCAAGAGTATGACCTTGAACCTTAAGTATACATCATACCTAAGTCGTAAGATCTATAAAGGTTCCACTATCTGGACAGACAGCCAACTTTCATTCTAAAGTCTTCTATTTCTAGAACTCATTCATTGAATAAAAGTTGCCTATTTGATGCAACGTTTATGTAAGCTATTAGCCAGGACATTAAAAATAGCATTCTCCTAGAGCAGTGGTTCTCAGCTGGGTGAGATTTTGCTCCTCAAGGGTCATTTGACAATTGCTGGAGACAATTTTAGTCATCACAATTTGGGGAGTGTTTCTAGTATCAAGTGGGCAGCCAGTGATTTTGCTAAATATACTACACTACACAGGGCAACTCCCAACCACAAATAACCCAGCCTGATGTTGGAAAATTCTGTTCTAGGAGGCAGAATGCTAATAGTGTTCCTTGGAACCAGATTCCAATAAGGTTGGGAGTATGTGCAGGCTGAAAAATTAGCTGAATGAGAGCAGTTTGTTGTTGTTTTAAACTTTAACCACCGCTGCCTTCTTTCTGCCCCATCTACTTTGCCAATCCTTAATTCCAAAACCTCCTTAAATTAGCTATCCAGCTGGCTTATTCCCATACCAGTTTGAAATCATACCCTGGTTTTTAAAGCAACCCTCCTCGCCCTTTTGGAAGCTTGAAAAGGAGGAAATGATGCTGTAGGGAGAGAAAGCAGGATTTACAAAGAAAAGCTAGATAATGCAAGTACACATCCTATATCTGAACTACAACACCTCTTTATTTCTCTTCTTCCCATTTTGACTATATCAAAAAACTAATTTATTGTGGAGAATGGAAAGAGTCAGGCTATGTTGAGACATTCTCAGAGAATATGAAGAGAGGCGGTAAATTACAGACAAAATTTGAACTCATGGACAATAACAGGATATTGAAATGTAGGAGAACCTGGATGACAAGCACGGGGAAATAGAATAAAACACCTTAATTAAGAATAAAATTTGGGGAATTAGCTGAATGTCTTCACATACCCTCAAGAAAACATACTTATGCCTGGCTAGTGTTTCTCAATGGTTGAGTGCCAATCTATGAGCCAGATTCAGAAGGTTCACTGCTTGATTCCCTGTCAGGGCACATGCATGACCAGGTTGTGGGCTCGATCCTCAGTGGGTGGCATGCAGGAAGCAGCTGATCAATAATTCTCTTAATTGACTTTTCTATCTCTCCCTCTCCCTTCCTCCCTGAAATCAATAAAAATATAGTTGAAAACAAACAAACATTTATGGTAGCTTCCAAAGCAAGAATGGATTTTATATTAAAATGTAACTAACTATGTAGCAGTTTGCAATGTAAAGTTACATATTGCCACTTCACTCAGACACCCGTGGCTAGTGTGGAAGGGATGCAGCAATTTTCTATTAAACCCATCTAAAAGGATCTTGGTACACCAAATAATTTCCCCCTGTAAGGTGATTCTACTTTTATATGAATAGGTTGTCCTATACATTATGTCCTTATTTAGAATTAGATACATTATAAGAAGTTTTAGACCAACAAGGTCAGAGAGAAAGTAAAATAACAAAAACCTACAAGGTGAAAGGGAAAAATAAAATACCTTGATCTTGAAGCTTTAAAGCAGAGGTAACCATCACTTCTGAAACAAGCTATACTTCTTCTAAAAGTAACAAATCCCTTCACTTCTATTCATTTTATTTTTCTACTAGTGTCCTACTGCACAAATTCATGCACATTGAAAGGAAATTAACTAGAAGAAATATTTTAATATTGCTATTCGCATCTTGGTAATGAAAATTAAGTAGGATTTTACCGAGTCTCTGATCTATCTACTCCAGGATTTTTGTGAGGATCAAATGAGATGAGGCATGTGAAAACGCTTCACAGACATTTGGTTACAGTGTGAAATGTTTCTACCTGGCTATAAAGAAAACATAGTTATGCCTGGCTAGTGTTCCTGAGCTGAAAAAACTGCAAGGAGGCTAGTAGCTAGGGAGAAGAAACCAGGCATTGCTATGTGATATCATTACCCGGATGGTTGGACACTTAGTATATTAGCCTTTTATATAGATAGGTAAGTAAAAAACCGGTTAGCCTAAAGGATAAGGATCTAATTTTAAGTAGCTTAAATGGGGCTAATGTGGGTTTTTGGCTAAGATTATGGACAACTTAAATACTTTCTTAAAAAAACAAAACAATGTATCCTATGCATGTCCTATAATAACTGAAAAGCTTCAGAAATACTCTTAAAGAGATAATAAGAAATAAGTTACAAGCTAGCACTGGACCAGTATCCGTACACATTTTCCCTTGGACTTCTCTTTCTTCGTCTATAAAGTGACCTATGGGTGAACTTCGTTGGTAGTTTCCTGCTTCACTGGATCCTGGATACTTCAGTCTCGACACACAGATACAATTTTTTTAAGTAAATATATTTTTATTGGTTTCAGAGAAGAAGGGGGAGAAAGAGACAGAAACATCGATGATGAGAGAGAATCATTGATTGGCTGCCACCTGCACACCCCCTACTGGGGATCGAGCCCGAAACTCAGGCATGTACCCTTGACCAGAATCGAACCCGGGACCCTCCAGTCTGCAGGCTGACACTGTTATCCACTGAGCCAAACCAACCAGGGCCAGAGATACAATTTTAAAATCAACTTCTATGAGCTGATCCTCTGCTACTTCTCTGATCTTACCTCCTATAACTCTCTCCCTCACTTACTCTGCAACAGCAACACTAGCCTTCTTGTTGTTTTGTGAATAAGACAGGAATGTTCTAGCCTTAAGGCCTTTGCATTTGTTCCCTACCACTGCTTTCCCCCATAGAGCCATCTAGTTTGCTCCCTTACCTTCTAAAGATGCCATTCTAAAGTTTTTTTGATAATATATTTTTATTGATTTCAGAGAGGAAGGAAGAGGGAGAGAGAGAAACGTCAACGATGAGAGAATCATTGATCGCTGTCTCCTGCATGCCCTCAATTGGGGAACAAGCCAGCAATCTGGGCATGTGCCCTTGACTGGAATCAAACCTGGGACCCTTTAGTCCACAGGCTGCTCTATTCACTGAGCCAAACCAGCTAGAGCAGTGGTCAGCAAACCATGGCTCGCCAGCCACATGCGGCTCTTTGGCCCCGTGAGTGTGGCTCTTCCACAAAATACCATGGCCTGGGCGAGTCTATTTTGAAGAAGTGGCGTTAGAAGTTTAAAAAATTTGGCTTGCAAAAGAAATTTCAATCATTGTACTGTTGATATTTGGCTCTGTTGACTGAGTTTGCCGACCACTGAGCTAGGGCAACATGACATTCTTAAAGAGGCTTTCACTGAGCGACTATAGAAAACCCAGCATTTTACAACAAAAGGAAGATAAACAACCCAATCAAAAAACGGGCAAAGACACTTTCAAAAGAGGACATTCAGAAAGCCAAGAAACATATGAAAACACGCTCAAAGTCACTAATCATCTGAGAGATGCAAATCAAAACAATGAGGTACCACCTCACACCTGTCAGAATGGCTATCATCAATAAATCAACAAAGTGCTGGAGAGGATTTGGAGAAAAAGGGATCCTCGTGCACTGTTGTTGGGAATGCAGACTGGTGCAGCCATTGTGGAAAACAGTATGGCGTTTCCTCAAAAATTTAAAAATGGAACTGCCATTTGATCCAGTAATACTACTTCTAGGAATATATACTAAGAAAACAGAAATAACAATCAGAAAGGATATATGCATCCCCATTTTCATAGCAGCACAATTTACAATAGCTAAGATTTGGAAACAGCCTAAATGCCCATCAGCAGATGAGTGGATTAGAACACTATGGTACATATACACAATGGAATACTATGCTCCTATAAAAAAGAAGGAATTCTTGCCATTTGCAGTAGCATGGATGGAACCGGAGAGCATTATGCTAAGTGAAATAAGCCAGTCAGTGAAAGAAAAATACCACATGATCTCACTCATTTATGGATAATAAAGAACATTATAACCTGATGAACAAAAAGGTAGATACAGAGGCAGAGAAGCATTGAACAGACTGTCAAATTACAGTGGAAGGCTGGGGTGGGTAAGAGATCAACCGAAGGACTTGCATGCATGCATATAAGCATAACCAATGGACGAAAGAAACTGGGGAGGGGGCAGACATCTGTAATACTATTTGTAATACTTTAAACAAACAAATTTAAAAGGAAAAAAACAAAAACAAAACAGTAACTCCTTCCCCACAGCAGTCTCTGCCCTCTTTAACTTAGTTTTATTTACCCCCGTATGACTTATTGTCATATAATACACCATATTTTACTTTATTGTTTTCTATCTTTATATTGGTCACTGCTGTATTGCCAGTAGTTAGGACAATGCTTGGCACTGTTGAATATTTGTAGAATAAATGATTATATCTCATCAAGCATATGAAAAGTCATGGCAATCAATGCCTGATTAAAAGCTGACAATCATTAAGAGCATACATCAGAAATGCTCTGATGTATCTTCTATTAAACTATAATAATAACTCAGCTTATAAGAACATAGCCTATGATAATATTTAAGCTTCTAATATTTTTAATTTTTAAAAAATTAATAGATGCTCAACTAAAACAAAAGTATATAAAACACTTGATTCTGATCACTGGTTAGGGTAAGCCCTAGCTAATCATTACACTAATTGTGGCAATTTACAAAAGTTTCAGATTTGGTGTAGTAACCAAGTCTATAAACTGCCCCTCCATTACTAAATTATCTGCCATAGTAAACGTTGATTAAGTAACTCCTTTTTTTACTTCTGCAACAAGACCCGAATGGACAGTGATTTAGCTGGTATTAAAGAACTAACAAGAAAATTATGCCAGCATCCCAATAACCAAAGCAAAAGTTGCATTTTTACATATTCAAATCCAATTCTCCAAGTTGCCTTCTGGAAACATTTTCTCTCCCAATAGGTTTACTCTGGAAGGGAGAAGAAGGAATGGAGAAAAGGAAGTATAAGAAAAGCAAAGAAAATGAAATAATTTTGAAAGGCTCAAGTTTTCTAAACCCCAAGCATATTAGTTTTTTATTCAAAGCATAAGAAAACTGTATTTTCTGTGCCCCAAATGTACTTATATAAAAAGCTCATGTAAAAAAAAAAAAAGTATGAGCATACTGGACTTGCGCTCACGTATCTAAGCACTGCCAGCTGTGGCTCCATGTTAATTACAGGAAAACTCTAGATCCTGAGGTGTCAGGGGAGAACCGCTTAGCCATGCCCAAACCGCTTAAGGGCCTACCTGAAATCTGTTGTTTCGTTGACTTAGTTTTACCTACTCCTAACCGCACCAACATTTAAGGAGAGAAATACGTTAGTGGAAAAAATTAATTCATTTATTTTATTATTTTTTTCTTACATCAATGACATCTGCCATTGTTTACCACCTCTTAAGCATTAACAGGCAATAAAATAGACATCATATGCCATCATCACATGCATTATTTCATTTAACCATTACAAACCAGTAAGCGGTACGTATCATCTTCTGTATTGCAGACTAAGGTTAATAAAAGGTGATATAACCTGGGCAAGATCACAAAGTAAATGGTAGAGTCTAGCTTTAATCTTAAAACTCTCGATTCCAAAGTCTGCCCACTTAACCACTACCCTACATTCTTTTCAAAGCACAATGCATTAAAATATTAATAGAATCAAGTTTTCTGGATGTGTGCTCTTGACTGATTATGTAATGTGAGCATTCTTCTTTTTCCGTTTTTAGCGAACACAATTATACTTGGCTTTTATGATGCACCATGATCTCCATGAGCACAACCTTCCAAATGGAGACCACAACCCCGATCCAAACCTCTCAGAGCCCTCCAGGTAGTTTCCCAGCAGCCTCTCACACCAGGGAAACACAATGACAGCCAGTTCAAAATCTAACTTAACTGCACGCTTATTAGCGACCCCTTGGGTGTGGATGAGGGGTCTCTTTGCCCGCAGCTGAAAAGAAGGCAAATCCAGAGTGGCCGGTAGGGGAGGGAGATCGCATAGACGCATCAGACCTTTCCGCCCCTGCTTTGTTCCTTCCCCTTAGGAATCTGCCCAGTTTGAGGGTCAAAAAAACAACAACGAGAGCCTGGGCCAGGAGGGTGGCCGTCACTGTCCCGATAAGAGGCGGCCGCACAGACACAGGTGTGCTCCCCTCCCCGCTCCGTGGGGCTGAGGACCACATCCAGAAAAGTCGTTAGAGACGTGGGCCCCCCAAGGCCTTCCATCAGCCAACGATTAGAGGCGGGGAGGGGAGGGGAGCGGAGGGAGCAAGAGCTTTTCACAAGCTGCCAGGCCACGCTCCCGCGGTGCCTCCCGCCTCCTCTCCGCAAGAAGGCTTCCCGTCCCCTTCCCTCGAGACCCAAAGACCAAGGAAGCCAAGCCTCGGCCCCCCACCTGGGCGCGGCCTCGGCGGCCGGGCCCACGGCACTCACCGTCGTTCTCGTCCCGGTGCCGCCGCCGCGACATGCCGCACGCCTCCGCGCCGCCGAGCCGAGCGGACGGGCGGGAAGCAGCGAGGGAACCGTCGGAACGCCGGCCGGCGCGAGGGCAGCGGGAGGCGCGCGGGGCGGCCGGCGCGCAGGCGCACTCGCGCGCTCGGGCTCCCGGAAGCGCGAGGAGGGGCCGCCGGGCGGACGCGGCGGGCCGGTCTAGGAGCTCCCCAGGCCGCGGGCTTCAGGTCCGCACGCAGCCGGCTCCTCGTGCTTCCTCCAGCGGCTCCCCTCCCCCGCCACTCGCTCCAAGTCCTTCCGGGGCCACGTAGATAGCGGCACCGCTTCAGCCCAGCCACGGGCCGGGGGCGGCGAGCCAAGCTGTGAGGCGGGCGGTGCGGGAGGGACGCTGCAGCCCCCGCCTCAATTTCAGACCCTCTCCCGGCGCGGGGGCGGGCCCTCCGGCTTTCCCAGCGTCCCTTCCGCTCAGAGTCTCACAGACTTCCGGTGCGGTGGGTGTCTCCGGCGCTCCTCCCTACGTCAACTCCAGGCGGGGCCTGCGGGACCCTGGGTGGTGAGCGGCGTTCATTTTTAGGCGGAGACTGTTCAGTGAAGAAAGATCTAAGAAAGGATCTGGACAGGCAGGTACGTGCTCACCGAACTGCCACTTCCGGGCCTTTGCCTCCCCGGGAAAGGCGGGCGGAGAGATCGGGCCTTGCCCGCAGCGCCATGTTGGTAAATGGCACCATTCATCCGATTGCTTAATCCAAAAATGCTGGTTGGAGTAGTTCTTGGGTCCTTTTTCTTCTCTTCCTACATAACAGTGAATCTGGAGACCCTGTCGGCTCTACTTTCAAAACAAGTCTAGAACAGGCTGCTGCACTCCCTTACAGTTCTCTGACTTGTTACTGCAAACTCCATATCATTACTTCCTCTCTCTGCACTCCAACCACTCTTTCTTCCTGAACTTCCAGTAAGTCAAGCTTGTTCCCACTTTAGGAAATGATTCTCACTATTAACTTTGCCTGCAGATCTCTGCTGCTAACTTGTCATTTTAGGTTTCAGCTCAAACATCAAGTCCTTAGTGGAGCCTTCTCTGGCTGCCAAATCACTTTTACTTCGCACACTGTATTTGCTAACGTTCAGCACCTCCTGTGTGCCAGGCAGTGCTCTAGAGGCTGAGGATGCAGAGGTGAACAAAGGAAAACCCCTGCTTTCTTGGTGTTGGTGACCGATCAGGAATGGACAAATAGTGCAATCAGAGGCTGTGAGCCAACGGAACATAGTAAAAAAAGATTAGAGACGTGGTGGGAAGGGCTTTGTAAGGACGTTGGAGTTTGAGTAAGGTGAGAAGCCTTTGGAGACTGGTCTAATTTTTTAATAGTTACCTTCCTGGTTCTTACATGAGGAGGCCAGTTAGTTTCCTTCAATAATTCACTCAAGAAATAATGGTGGCTTGAATGGGATTGGTAGTGAAAGTGGTGGAAAGTGATGTGATCTGATTGTATTTCAAGAACAAAGTTGGTAGGCTTTTCTGGGGGACTAGGAGATAGTGTGAAAATATAAGGAGTCAAGAAGAAGCCCAAATATTTTTCTGAGTAACAGAAAGAATAGAAATGTCATTTTATGCAAGTAAGGAAGACTGGGGAAAAACAAGAGTTTGGTTTTGAACAGTTGCATTTGAACAGCTGTCCAGTAGACAGTTGGATATGTGAATTTGGAGATATAAATTGGAGTCAGTATATAGTATTCTCAACTAAATTTCTTTTTATTTATATAGATTGCTTACCTTTTTCAAATATTTACAAAGGTTGAGAAAATTATGAACTCCCATGTATTTTACCAATCAGCTTCAGCAATTCCAACTAGTAACCAATCTAGTTTCACATGTATTATCACAGTTATTCTCAGGAAATTTAGTTTTTAAATTCTTGGGACTAGATGAGATCACCTAAAGGGTGAGTGTAGATAAAGCCATTCAACAATTAAAGTTTGGGATGGAGGGTAAGGAGAATCCCTAGCAAAGGAAATTGAGAAGTTTCATGTTTCACTGACAGTTTCATGTTTTTAAATGTGTTTACTTATTTAGTGTCTCTCTTCTCTTACTTGAATATAAGCTTCAAATGAGCAGGGAGAGTAACAGTTTTCATTAAAATCGGCATCCACAACACTATTCTATGTTCTGGGCATAGAACAGTTAATGTCTAAAGGCAAAAACTGAAAAGGATTTAGAGTGAGGAAAGGCCATTTTGGGGTGGTGGGGAAGGTATGTGTGGAGACTGTAAGGCAGGGAAGAGCATGAGTCATATGTGGAACTAGGCAAAGCCCGTTGTAGCCAGAGCAGGTTATATGAGGGAGAGTGTTGTCTGAGATGAGCCGAGATTGGTAGAGGAATTAAGGATTACAGATTCCTTTCCAGTCCTCTCTTCATCCCTGCAAGATAGGTGCTGTCATCACACTTTAGAAATTAGGGAATTAGGACTCAGAGAAGTTTAATATCTTGCCCAAGTTCACTTACTTGCACTCAGCCACACCGGGGATCCAAAGGCAGTGTCTTTCCCAGCGTTTCATGTTGCCTCTTTGTTACCGTAACATTTGCTTTCTAGAGGAAACAATGTGGTGTGTTGGTCGAAGTGTGTCCATTTTGAGAAGATTTGGCCACAGTAGCAATTTGTATATTTATTCTGGTTCACTGGTTTCTCTTGGTAGTTATTTCTTCTAAGAAAGGGAATTTGCATAGCTCAAACATTTAGGGGACAAGAAAAGAACGAAGAGTTTATAACTGAAGTTATTAGCACACAGCTTGGTCGTACGGTGCTTTTTTGGTATCAACTTACCGTGAGTTCGCAGGCATTTGCCCTTTTTGTCAAATGCTACTGCCTCAGACTTTACCTACTCTCTGTGTTTTAAAGATCCCCTCCATCACCCTGGCTCCTTACTGTTTATTTGTCTTCATAGTCTCTTACCATCTGACTTTTAAAAAAATAAAATTATTTGCTTACTTTCTGTCTCTCCCCATTGGAATGCAAACTCTAAAATATATTGCATTCACTGCTATATCCCCAGTATCTAGAACAATGCCTGCTAAATAAATACCATTTATTGAATGAATGAGTGAATGAATGGATAGCTTGGGCTACTGGGCCGATGCTCATTTGCATGAATGATTAACTTCAAGTTTACTTCAAGTAGGAATCAAAGACTTGGACAATGTTGTTTCTCCCTTGCTCGCTTCCTAGGAAATAGTTAACTGAAAGGAATCTGCTGCTACAACCAAACCAGATGCCTTCTTCAACTTCACCAGACCAAGGAAATGACCTGGAGGCCTGTCTTTTAAGATTTTCAGACTTGGATTTGAAAGACACAAGTATTATCAATCCCAGTAGCAGTCTTAAAGCAGAGCTAGATGTCAATACAAAGAAGAAATATTCATTTGCGAAGAAAAAGGTAAAATTGCTATTGATGTTTCAGGATCGTTTGTGTATAGTTAATGCCGGTAGATCAAGGCTGTCCTCCAGGGATAGGAGAGAGAGTGAGACAGTAAGCTGTTGTCATGCTCGAAGTAAGGTCTCCTCAGCACCTTTACCCGTGATCTTAATTCTATGCCAGGCAAAGGAGACTCGTAGGCAGGGTGTGGCTTTGAAACACGTGTGGTGAGATACAGATCCTAGACAGATGGGCTGGATTCCTTCCGCCACCCTGCGTTAATGGAAGAAACCCAGGAGACCAAGTCACAGGGAGAACAGACAGGCATTAGGGCAGCTGCTATCTGAGACTCTTGTGATCTGATCCAGCTGATATAAAGCTTACTAATAAAAATGTTACTCTTCACGTTCTTCTACCGAATAGTAGAGACTAGAAACCGCTGTGAAAAGATAATAGAAGAAATTTCACTGAGGCTTCCATTAGCCTCAAACCCAAGGTTATTCCACAGTGACAATTTGAAATGTAATTGCAGGCATTTGCCCTTTTTGTCAAAACCAAAGAAGTTTCAGCACCGTCTTATAAATGCAAAGAAAAATGGTGGAAATGCTGTCAGCAACTCTTCATGGGCCCCACTAGCATCCATATTCACGTGGCAACACAGCACGCTGATGAGATTTGGCACCAGACTGCTTCTGTTCTAAAGCAGCTTGCTGTGGCATCGAGCACCTCAGAGAGCCTCAAGTCTGCCGGCAAAGGGGACCCCCCGAAAGAGTGCCTTCCTCGAAACCATGAAGTGTCTGCTTGGCTCCCTGACATTAGTTGCTTTAGCCCTGATGAGCTGATAAGGTAAGAATTTAATTCTGTACTTTTGCTTTAATTTAAAAAATGTTTTTTCAGCCACAGTGAGATATCACTAAAATGGCAAAATCTTAAAGGCACAGAATGTCTCTACAGGCCTAAGCAAGGGTGATAAACATGTATTGTGTGCAATAGGTTTTAGTCTGTGCAGTAGCAGGTACCCACGCAGCTGGTAATGTTGCCAGGTTTCTTGAAAGCCATTCTGCATCTTATCTTTAGGGAAAGGTAAAGAACAGAAAATTATATTATTTTCTAAGAGAATAGGAAGGCCCAGGAACATTAATGATTCCTCTACCCTGAATAATATCAGAGCTTAAAAGGTTTTTTTTGTTACCAAATGTGGCTTTCTGAGCTGAATATGCTTTAGAAAGGATGTTAATTTTTAGAACTGAGGCATAGGATTAAGAGGTTCAGATTCTGCTAAATCTAGAGAACAAATTTCTGGTTTGAATTTGGTGAATAGAAAATGTCCAAATCTGATATAATTTATCACTAGTATTTAGTGCCAAATTCACTTTATTAGAAAGAAAAGAAGAAACCAAGAGAATTGAACTTGGAGTCAGACTTGAGGGAGTTGCTAAAATTTGTTGTGCCTTCATTTCTTCCCTTTTAAAATTGGAATAATAATGTCTGCCCTGCCTATCATACAGTATTGCTGTATGAGTTCTATAAAATGATGATGGTACAAGCACTTATGAACTAAAAAGTGCTTTATAAATGTGGCCTCTTTTAGCTATGGTCCTGCATTTCAAGGAATTTGCTTTCTAGTTAGAAAAACAAAGAAAAGGGCATGAAACAATTAGCAGATGATATGAGACTGGTATTGAAAGAGGGAAAAACTGCCTGTAGGATTTCTCAAAGGTGATTTCAAAGAACAGCTTCAGAGCACACTTTTAGGAAATGCAGCTTATTTTATTTCTCCAATTTTACAGATGAGGAAATCAAGGCTCAAAAATGATAAGTGACCTGCCCGAATCCCACAAGTTAGTATAAGACAGCACAGTGCAATAGAAAGGATATGGGTTCTAGTGTCAGAAATTTGGTGTTTTGAGTCCTGATTGTCACTTGTAGTTGTCTCACCTGTAAGGAATTGACTTCAGTTTACTTAGCTATAATGTGCAGATATGTTCTTCTTTAGAGAAAATACAGACAGATAGGAGTTACTTCTCATTTTAGGAGAACAATAGTAGGTGCAAAGGCAGGCATGAATTGCTCCACCTAGGCCTCCCCTGCCATGCTGCCTGGTTATACTTGATGAACTTAGGCCAGTGATTCAGATGCCCTTTCTCTATGGTTTTCTTTTTACAGTGGTGAGGGCAGTGAGGAAGGAGAGGTGCTACTTTATTACTGCTATCGTGACCTGGAGGATCCCCACTGGATCTGTGCCTGGCAGACAGCTCTGTGTCGGCACCTGCACCTCACAGGCAAGGTAACACCTTCTTCCACACCCCACTCTTCACTAGGCTGCTCTGGCCTCCAACTTGGATTGAGCAGAGGCTGTACTCTTTATTTATTATTTATTTATTTTTTTATTGATTTCAGAGAGGAAGAGAGAGAGATAGATAGAAATATCAATTATGAGAGAGAATCACTGATTGGCTACCTACTACACATCTCCTACTGGGGATCGAACCTGCAACCCAGGCATGTGCCCTTGACCAAAATTGAACCCGGGACCTTTTAGTCTGCATGCCAATGCTCTATCTACTGAGCCAGACCGGCTAGGATAAGGCTGTGCTCTTTACAAAGAGATTTGCTGTTGAGTTTTTAGAAATTAGCAAACTCCTGTGAAGCATATAAGTAGAATACTATTATAAGTAGCTATTAACATGGTGTTTTATAAGAATATATAATGGCATAGACCAGGAGTCAGTTAATTTTTTCTTAAAGAGCCAAATAGTAAATATTTTAGGATTTGCATAGAAAAACGACTCAACCCTGCCATTGGTAACATGAAAACAACTCTAGATAAATAGGTAAATGGATGGATATGCCTGTGTTCCAACAAAACTACATGCAAAAGCAGGCATAATTTCCCTTGGCATAGGGAAATGTTCTTGATATAGCACCTAGAAAAACATGTTATAGAACTGTGCATAGAGGTGTGATTCCAAGTTTCTTCTTAATTTTCCTAGGAGATGCCAGGGCCTTTACCATTTCATGGTACTGACATTTGCTATTTTCTTTCCCTCTAGAATGCTTTTTCCCTAGATCTTCACATGGCTCATTCCTCACTTCAAATCTCTGCTCAGATGTTATCTCCTTAGAACTCTAATCTGAAGAGGTCCTTTTGTAAGCCTCATCACTTTCTATCCCTTCTAGTAAAAAAATTTACTACTATCTGAAAGTATAGTCTTTAATTTGTTAGATTTGTCCCATATAGAATGTAAACTACATCTTCATCTTCAAGAACTTGGTCTTAATTGATGTATTGTTAGTGCACAGGGCTTAGCACATAGCAGACAGTGTATGTTCAGAGAATGTTGAATAAAGGAATGAATGTGTGTTTGTAACAAAAGCACAAGTGTATATGTGTATAAAGATGGAGAGTAGTAGACATCGAAGTGTTAATTATGACTCTCTACCAGAGGATTATGAGTGGTTTTTCTTTTTAAAAAATATCCTTAATGATTACATATCTGTACATGTATATGTATATTATATATTTTTTAAAATTTAAAAAGTGAGTTAGGTTCTCTCTGGGATATCCTCTAGTTATGATGCTGTACTGTCTGTGGGTAATATTTCCTACTCATGTTCCAGGTTTTCATTTGCTTTGGCAATCATTTGATCAGTCAGCAACATTTTCCACATCGATGTTTGCTAACAGATAGTGGGCTGAAAGCTTCATTCATTTCATCACTCAGTCCTGCCATTTCTACCTCTAAAATGTCCCTTGACTCCATTCACTCTGTCCTCCATTTCCACCACTTTAGACCAAGCCTCACCCTTACCTGGCCCATTTCAATAGTTGGCAAACTATTTTCCGTTCTATCCCTGCCTGCCATTTAATCTAATCTGTACAAGCATCCAGAATGATCTTCAAAGGTAGATAAAATCATATTAGCCCTCCTCAAGATCTTTCAGAGGCTATCCAGTGCATTTAATGTAAAACCAAATTGTTAACATGCCCTTAGGTTCCTGCATAATTTGGACCCTTCTTACCTTCTTTCCGCTGATCTGATACCATTCGTCTTTCAGTTTCTTGGAGCCCACAAAGTCTTTTTGTGTTTTTGGGCCTTTTTATAAGAAATGTCTTTAAGGAACTCTCCCATACTAGTACTCGGTTTCTCCTGTGTGATTTTCCCTCAATCTTCACTTCTCAAAGAGATCTTTCTTGACCTTTAATCAATTTCATTTTTCCAAATATACTCTCTTATAGCATCTTAGTTATTTTTTATAGCGCTTGTCAGTTTGTAACTTTTAATATCTGTGACTATCCCTTAGTCTATAAGCTCCAAGAGCGCAAGTACTGTCCAACCACTATATCCTTAGTTCTTAGTACAGTTCCTTGTGCAGAGTAAAAAATTTAGTAAACATTTTTGGAATGGATACATTTGTCACAATGTCTATTTAGAGAGCATCTTAAATATGGGCATTCTCAAAGTAAAACTGAATGTACAAAATATGGAATCAATCTCTTTCCTTGGTTTAGGGGCAGATTTTTATTCTTGGACAGCCTGCGGTGAACTAGCAGCGAGGGCCCCTAACCACAAGGTGGCAGCACCTGTCTAGACTATAGGTCTAAATTCTAAGGTTTCCATGATACATGAAGAGTTTACTGAGATAGTTTTCTGCTGGTAGATTTGTCAGGATGTTGGCATTTAGGTAGAAAAGAGGAGAACTTGAAAATTCTGGAATTATGGAAGGAAGCTTCTTGTCCCTATTGCTATATATTCATTCCTGGAAGATACATAGGGAATGCATTGGAGTCTTTGGAAAGGAAACATTACAAGATTGATAGCCAATAAGATCTGATTTTTGAATCCCAGATCTACACCTACCAACCTGTGCCATTGGACAAATTACTTGATTTCTCTGAGTTTCTGTTTCCTTTTCTGTTGGGGATTATGACATCTACCTTTCAGGAATATATTATAAAGCTCCTGTCTCATAGGTGCTCAGTAAATGCTAACTTGTTCTTCATCTCTGAAGTTTAAGGCCTTTCTCACCAAGGAGCTACTTTGAAGATTTCTGTTAAAGAATCCTAGTGATTGAAAGTCTATCGGATGAGTTTAAAGATTGTTCTGCCCCAACTGTATAGGGAATGGATGAGCTTGTTTTTATTTGGGTTTTGAGATTTAAAATAACAGGAAAGAATATACTAACCTACCCAAAAGACAGTTACGTACAAGTATGTACCTCTTCATCATATCTGTCACAGTAATGACAGCTTCAGGGTACAATTCCTGACTCATACTGGTTTAGCTCTTTTTCTGTGTAATCCCTTAAAAATATACAAGTTGAATCATCTAATCAAAAAATTCTCTCCAAATATGGTTTAGAGGGAAGTTTCAGGGTTAGTGTGAGAGTAGATAGTAATTATTATAAGTAATATTACTTATAATAAAAATAAATAATGTTTACACTTTAAACATTGATCTGTCAACACTGTTAGACATACACGGCAATGGACGTATCCTTTTCATAAGTTCATTAAAACAACAAGTAGTAAAAATGTGTTATTGTATTACTATTAATTGCAATAGTAATAGTTATCTCAGTTTTGAAATAAAGCCTACTAAATAATTTTGTTAAATTGGAAAAATGTGTATATATAAGCTGGTACTAGGTATAGTAATCTCTGCAGATGGTGTGTACTTTGACACTCTTCTCCCAGCCAAGATCAGGCTCACTACGCTCCAGTACTCTCTTAAGAACTAGATGTGACCCAGAATGCTCATCATGGAACTCTGCACAGCCACTGCTAGTGAGCTGGTGTAAATGAATCCCATTTATATCCATTCCCTAAAAGAACTGAATCAAGTGTCTCAGCCAATGAAGTATCATCTCTGGGCCCTCAAAATGGGGAGCCTTTAAAAATTTTTTAATTCTAATGCATTGGGAGGTATCACTGTTATACAGGAAGTAGTAACACTATAGGGCCTTAAATTACCTTTCCAGAGAATACCATGATATAAGTGTTGCACTTTTCTCTAGAGCTCAGCACCCTCTACAGATGACACATCTTTAAACTCATCCAAGGATTTTGTAGCACCAAAACAGCTAACTTTGCAGGGTCCCCAGAGCATTGCCTCTTAAGGCAGGGGCCTTAGTCCAAACTCTAATGTCTCCTAACCAGTGAAGTATTTTAAAAAGAGTACAGATTTGAGAAGCCAGAAAACCTCAGATGTGGATACACATTCATTTGTTCAATAGATACATACTGAATGCCTACTATGAGGCAGGTGTTCTAGGCACTGGTTATGCAACAGTGAACAAAACAAACACTCCTCCTGCAACTTTGTATTCCAGTGGGTGGGTTTGCAGTGGTGGCTTTCCACGCATTCACCCCATTCCCAGTCCTCAGGTGTGCTCTGTGCTTCAGAACTTGGGGAGTCTCTCCCCAGCAGTGGTTTTCATTGTTCTCTTTTTCCTTTTTATCAAGATGAAGAAATCGAGGTTCAAAGAAGTAAAACAATTTCCTCAGGGCACTTTGCAAAGAAGGGGCAAAACTGAATCTTGATTCTAGATCTGCTGATCTGGATTAAACTCAAAATGTGGTTCTCTGACCATTGGACAACGGAGTCCATAGCAAATGGGGCTTTCCAGTAGTTACATTAATTTCATGCTCTTATTCAGCACACATTGACCAAGTACCCCATCTGAACTTAGGGAGTGCTGTTTTAGAAAACACAGGTACCTTTGTGGTAACACTTTGGTGTCCACAGCAGTGTCTTTGTTTCCTGTTCAACTCACTGATACACTTGAGCCTGTTCAGCCCTGGGAAGATTTTAACTGCCTTCCCTTTCTCTCGCCATCTTGTGTCTCAGGTGCGAATTGCTACAGAAGGAATCAACGGGACAGTTGGTGGAAGCAAATTGGCCACCAGACTCTATGTGGAAGTCATGCTTTCCTGTCCATTGTTTAAGGATTATCTGTGTGAGGAGGATTTTAAGGTAAGAGAAATTGAAAAGGAAATGGCTCTAGAGCCATGCCTCGATGCCTCTTCCTGTTGTAGGTTATGGAGAGAGCGCAGTATAGAGAAATAAGCAGTGCCAGGTAACTACCCTTTCCCGTTACCAGGTGACAAGGTAGTGTGTTGGAAGGACGTGCTGGTTCCAGTTCTTCCACTGAATCGCCATATGGTCTTGGACAAGTTAGTGTCCTCGCTAGCCCTTAGTCTCCCTTCTTAAAGAATAAGGTCGATACAATCTAAATTCTGAAACTTAGATGCATTTGCTTATTTGGGAGACTGCCTGGCTATCTCGGTAAACCTGGAATTATCAGGTCAGTACTTCACAGAGGGAACGAGGTTGCTCTTTCAGCTCAGGTGCTTTATCACGATAGGTGGTAAAGGTGGTGGGAAATACCTTGGTAGTGTTAGTGCTGGTGGGATAGATAAAGAGAAGTCATTGCTCCAGGACAAAAGCTGGGATGTGATCTTACATGTTGAAATTGTTCAGCCGTGTTTCAATTTTAAATGCTATTGCTATAGAAACACCTTTCAGTGTAACATTTCTGAACATGGTAGATATGTAGTAAATAAGACCAAATATAAGAATTATTTTATAATACCATAGCTGTAGTATTAAGAAATCTCAAATTAGAAAAACCCTTTTTAATGGGAAAAGGGAATTATGGCCTAGACTGTTCCAGAAAACTCAACATTATCTGCTTTGTTTCTCATTGGCTAGACCAGCAAAGGAGGAGCTTGCTGTTTTCCAGAGTTGCGTGTTGGTGTATTTGAAGAAATTGTGCCTATGGGGATCAGTCCCAATAAGATCTCCTATAAGAAGCCCGGTATGCTTGCTTTTAGAAGGACAAAATAATAGAGAGACAAATGTGAAGGATAGACACATCAATCAGCTAGAGCCATGAATCCTTCCATTAAAATAGCTGTGGGGTGGCTAACATTTGGGTCATTTAATGCTTAAATTGGTCTTCTCTTTGGAGATTCCCCCTCAGAACGATTTATTCTTGATGACGGTTTGGCAAGAAGTTGTTTCCTCTTTAAAGATAGCAGTGTAGGAAGAGTGCAATTCTTGTGAATAGTTTATCAACTAATTTTTTGGTTTGATTTTAGGAATCCATTTATCTCCAGGTGAATTTCACAAAGAAGTAGAAAAGTTTTTGTCTCAGGCAAACCAAGAACAAAGTGATACTATCCTCCTGGACTGCAGAAACTTCTATGAAAGCAAAATAGTAAGAACCAGAATTGAGTCCCCACAGTATGGCGTGTTCCCCAGGGGGATGTGTGTGCCCATCAGTGGTCAAGTCACATGGATCTCTTCCCACTGCTAGCAGCTTCAGAGAAAAACCCAAGCCTTTCAACTCAGGATCTGATGAGAAAGCCTAAGAAAATATGAATTACAGACATATTGGCAAATAACGTGCGTTCTGGCTCCCATGTGCCTACCCTTGACACGTCAAGGATCTTGTAAACTTTGCTTTGGGCAGCCTCTCCAGTTCCCCTGAAGACTGGGAAGGTGACTCACAGCTCGCCAGCCATGTCTGTTAAGTTCCAATCTTGAATTTGAAAGGTTTAGTGTGTGGGATGAGAACAGCAACTAGCTGGTGTTTCCTTGCCAAGGAAGGTGGTGTGGGAGGGGAGGGTGTGTGTGAAAGCATACCAGGTATACTTTTTTTTTTTAACCATTTTCTTTCTATCCCACATTGTAGGGACGCTTCCAGGGCTGCTTAGCTCCAGACATCAGAAAATTCAGTTACTTCCCTAGCTACGTTGACAAAAACCTAGAACTTTTCAGAGAGAAGAGGGTACTGATGTATTGCACTGGGGGCATCCGTTGTGAGCGGGGTTCTGCTTACCTCAAAGCCAAGGTGAGTCGCCCTCCTTGGGCACCACAGGCCTGGCCGTGAGGAAGGCACCGTCCACAGCACGTGTGGACTCCCTCCCCCCTTCGTTCCCTCTCCCTTCCTGGCAGCCAAGTGTTCATTTTCCCCTGGTATGGTTTCAGCTTCGAGTTTTAAGTACAAAACACGAAGTTCTTAAATCTTAAGATGTGAAAAAAGCTCAGCAGTCTTAGAAACTCATCAGGTACAAACAGGAAAGATTAGTTAACGTTTCCCTTTGCCTAATACTTTTGCTTGATCCTGAGAAGAGCAAATTCAGTAACATTACATGTCCCAACAGGTGTCCTTCTATATTTAGGGGGTGACAAAAATAGCTGAGCTCCAGGATCTAGAGAGTGAAGGCCCTGACTGCTGTCATCACCCATTGCCCCCCTCCCTGCGAGCAAGCTATGGCCAGTTGCTTCCGTGCGCCCTTGGTCAGCAGTTTCTCAGTGTCCTGCAGTGGAGCCGGGAGCCAGGAGCCACCCTTGGGCATCCTCACCACGTGCCACTCCTCTAGAGCTTCTTCCTGACCTCTGCTTCTCTCCTGAATCTCCTGCTGTTTCTCCACACATAGGGCGTGTGCAAGGAAGTGTTCCAGCTCAAGGGTGGCATCCACAAGTACCTGGAAGAGTTCCCTGACGGTTTTTACAAAGGGAAATTGTTTGTTTTCGATGACCGTTACGCCTTGTCCTACAACAGTGACATAGTGTCAGGTAGGTCAGCACAAGCCTAGAACCTAAACCTCACGATCAGGCACTCTCTGTATGAACCAGGCTGGAAGACAGGGAAGAATAAAACTGGGAGAAGGAGTGCGTGGCACCACCACTGCCCACCAGAGCTGGAGATGTAGCGGCACAGCAGAGCCAGGAGGCCTGTGCTGGGATCCCTGCTTCACCATTTACCCGTTAGACAAGTCCTAAAAATGGAGATAATGTCCCTTGCTCTCTGCCTGCTCAGCAGTGAACTAATAGGCTAAATCAGAGTTCTTCACCTGGGGTCACTATGTGTGAATTTGGGTAGCAAATAATTTATTTTCATAATCTCTACCTAAATGTAACACTACCATCAATTATGAATATAAGCAACAAATCAGTAGTATTAGATGTACCTGTGACTTTGTCAGTAGAAATCAGTATTTTCATAGATTACAGTTGCTACCTATATCTTAAAATACTATTTATGTTCATCATTGCTTCAAAATGGAAAGAGCTATTAGGCCTACTACTAATTCTTATTATTTAATGTGCTAATATCTTACTAAGGTCCAGATTTTTGAAAATATTTTAATGTTTTATATTTCTATGTAATTGCGTTCCTTTGTAATCCTACGTAGATTACTTTATGCATTTAAAAATATATATTTCTAAGAGTTCATACTCTTCACTAGACTGCCAAGTAAATCCATGGCACAGAGGAAAAGACTCCCCTAGTTTAGATGGTCTGTGGACACATGTGGTCTTGCACTTTTGCATGGTGGGTGGGAGCTGGACGTAGGGCCAAGGCCACAGGCAGGGGTGGCCACAGGAAGCGGTGGTCACAGGAACTGTGTGGTTTGACTCGTTCTGAGTCCACACTAAAATGTGGTATCAAATGAAGGCAGTCTGTGGGGAATAATGGAAATAGTCCTTTAGCAAAAGGGCTCTTGATGCCACCGTCTTGAGCAGGCAAGGTCACTGGCAGACATCCCTAGTGGCTATTGTAGTTTCTAGAATAGGAATCAGAAACAGATTGCAGGACTATTCAGATAATAAGGTAGGAGTTGGATTATCCTCTCTCCTTCTTTATCTTTAATGAGTTTGGATAGTCTTGTGTTTGTGTCTGTTATTGAAAACATCTGACTTGGAGCTTGGTGGAGTGTAAAGAGAAGAGAGAAGGACTAAAGGTACCTTAGATAAGTTAGGTAAAGAGACTTGAAGAAGGATGTTACCAATGGTAACAGGAGTCAGTAGGAAAAAACCCGCTGAGAAAGTAGATGAGTTTTAGGAATCAGTGGCAAGTGTGTTAGCAACAAATAGCAGGAGAACCTCAGGCCTGGGGAAGAGGAATGCAGAGCTGAGTCTAGATGTGGGAACATCTACATTTAGATATGTTGTCTTCCAGTGAAAAAGGGAGTGATCTAAAGGAAAAAGACTGCTGACCAAGAGGGTGGTTGGTTCGCTTTGAAATAGTTAATGAAAGAGAGAAGCATTACTATTTGTTTCTAAATGGGAAAAGGGAAAGTGGATTGGTGAATACTGGAATCAGGAAGACAGTTTCTGGAAGCAACCTCTCCCCCCAAAGCATAGGGATGAGGCGTGTTTCTTGTTAGAAGATAGGGGACTTACTATTTAGAAATCTTCCCCAGATGCAACAGGATATATTCGATTCTAATGAGCTAAGAGTTATATTTAGGAACTGGAGAAGGGCGTGTGTTTATAACAAAGATTGTTCTTCCATCCCCAGAATGTGCATACTGTGGAGCCCCATGGGACCAGTATAAACTCTGCTCCACTTCCCAGTGCCGCCAGCTCGTCTTGACCTGCCCCGCCTGTCAAGGGCAAGGACTCACAGCCTGTTGTGTCACATGTCAGGACAAAGGGAGCAGGCCAGCTCCAAGCCCTACCCAGAGCAGCTTTAAAGAGGAGTGTGACTGTACAGCCCGGCGGCCACGCATACCCAGTGAACTTCCACAGCAGGCGCTCCCCCCCGAGCCCAGAGCCGAGGCCTGATGCTGCTGAGGACGCACCCTGCTTGTGTGAGCGGCACCGGCAGCATTTCCCTGAGGCTTCGCAGAGCCAGGCTCGAGGCAGCCATGTATTTGGGAATATCCAGGCCGTTGCAACAGAGAAATGGGGGACTTGGGTGCTAGCCAGTGACCCCGTGGCAAACTGGTCACCTATTGGCCACTTGTACTTTCTGAGAGGAGAGAAGAGGGAGTTGGTGCTGACCACTTACCTGAGACATTCTGACTCAGAAGGTGCTAGAACATAGGAAAAGGTGAGCTGTGTGGAGCCTGGCGACCAGGTCATGCCTTTTCTGTGCAAGGCGTCAGGGCTGGTAGCAGTCATTTTTCTTCTCATCATACCTGTCTGTCCTGATGGCAAAAGTGTGAAAGCTGTGACCCTGGAAGTAGACTCCTTGGAACAAGTCCTATTGGTCCCTTACCACTCACCCCAACCCTCACCTCAGCTCTGTTAGCCTGAGAGCTTTAGACCGGGATCAGTAAACTATGGCATTTGGCCCATCTTCTGCTTTTGTAAATAAAGCTTCATTGGAGTAGCCAAACCCATTTTTTAACATGTGATTTCAGACAGACTTAAGTATTTACAACAGAAAAGTTATGGCCTGAAAAACCTTTATTTATTATCTGGTTCTTTACGGAGAAAATTGCCACCTTCTGGTCCAAAACCAACAGCTTGACTGATGGAACAGATGGTCATAAAGATGTGGCTCACCTTCATTTTTTTATTGATTTGGTTTTTAACAGATCTTCCCCTAGTAGTATCTGCTTTCCCTAGCAGCCACCACACTTTGCTTTTAAGTATTTTCTTTGAGGGATTCAGATTAGCTTGATGACACGTGTGGGCAGCTTTTACACAAGTGCCTTCGGTTACAAGACATTCTGAGTGAGGTCATTCAGTACTGCTGTGGTTTCCCGGCCTTGTCTGGTATGTCATACGGGTCCCAAGAAACACATACGCAGCCATTCATAGACCAACAGGTTTAATGTTAAATTGCAGTTTCCAGTGATGCAGAATACAGCTCCACTTGTGTTTCAAGGAGAAGCCGGTGGTGCCACTTCTGGGCCCATCTGCAGCCTCGTAGACACTCTTCCACCTCTGGTTTCCCTGTACTGTCACAGCATCCCAGTTCATGTGCAAGACTTTTCCTTTCTCATCAAAAGCCTCTGCTCAGTGCTCTGCAGCAGTCTGTCAGCTCTTTGGCCTGGCCTCTATCAGGAGATTTGTCCGATCACTCATGAATGTAACTTCCCAAGCAACAGAAATGCTAGCTCGCCTGGCACTGTGGTTGTTAAAAGGCACAAGGGCACTGTGGCTTCACTTTTTTGCTGGATCCCAAGAGATGCACATGTTGCTGAAGGAATGCGGCAGAGATACCAAAATTACGTTTTCAGAATCGTCATCTTGGGATAGTTTGGCCAGGGTTTTCTATCATTACTCTCTGGGTCTTCCCCATTGGCTTTCAGAGGCTTAACTTTTTAATTAAGATTAGCAGTGACATGTCTAGTAAGTGCTGCCACAGGTAGTTGCAAGTCTGTCAGCATAGACTGGGAATTTACCCCTCTAACGTTTGACTTCAAGTAAGCCATTAGCCCACTGTGCAGTACAGAAAGGTGTTTTCAAGTATTTGGCCACAGGGTTTCACATCCATCGTAAGGTTAGCATTCAATAAAGGAAAAAATTCTGACTCCGGTGTTAAATTACAAATAAACCCCAGATGCCATAAATAACACTCAAGAAGCTGTTTGTTGCCTGGGATTGCTAAAGACAGGATCGTTTTTTGAAACTTGGAATTTCCTCATATCCAGCAAAAGGAAGCTCCTGTTCTTTGATTCCTGGCAGAGCTCAGTGGCTTCAGTCTTTTTTTTTTTTTTTTTTTTCTTTGATATATTTTATTAATTTTTTACAGAGAGGAAGAGAGAGGGATAGAGAGCTAGAAACATCGATGAGAGAAACATCGACCAGCTGCCACCTGCACACTCCCCACTGAGGATACACGCGCAACTACGGTACATGCCCTTGACCAGAATCAAACCTGGGACCTTTCAGTCCACAGCCTGACGCGCTATCCATGGAGCCAAACCGGTTTCCGCCTTTCTGCCTTTCTTGGGAAAAATTGTGTTCTTGATCCAGTAATCAATTTGGCAACTTTAATCTTGAGGTTCTTTGATTTAAAGGAGGGTTAATCAAAACAAAACAAAACAAACAACAACCCTGTTCTGCTGGCTAAATAGCTGAGATCAGATTTGTAATAAAGTATTGTATAATGCTCCTGTACCGTGTGGGAGAGTGTGCTGCTGGTTCGTGCGTTACGCATAGTCAGTTCACCTGAAACACCACATAGCAAGGCCACCAAAACCAGGTGCTCGGGGATAAGTCACTTCTGCTGTAACGTCATCTTCAGGAAGATCTGCTGGTCCAGGGGCTTCTTAGTTTTTAAACAATAACCAGATGGAACTCTGTGACTAAAGAAAACTTCACATTAACCATAGTTTATAAAATTTCAACTGTAACCACTAGTTATCCTAAAACCTTTGTGCATAAAGAACTGAACCACCAAAGGGTTTGTGCCGGCATTCTGCCTTCTGGCTTCCACCGCAGAGCACAGAGTATCAGTAGGACGTGTCCAGTTCAAAGGCGTGGTCATCACCGCCACGCGCTAGACTCCACTCCGGCACTTGGGAATGATGGGCCCAGTCAAGTCTGCGAGCCTCCTCTTCCTCACTGGAAAGGAATGGAGATGAGATGTAAGCCAGTTGTCCCTGTGCGCCAGGAACCACCTCCGGGGCTCAGAGCACTGTGAGCTTCTCGCTAACTCTTTGGTTAGCGGAGTCTGAAGCCAGTTTTTAAACGATAGTTATGAGTAGGTTGTATAATGGCCCTCCAAATTGTCAGCGTTCACTGATGAGGGTATGTGGTAATAGAGTCATTCATAAATTACTTCTAAACCGCTGACCTACAGATCTAAAACGCCTTTCTCCAGCTCCACTATTTTAACTTTACGTACAGAGGCCCTACAGCCGAAGATCCCTAGTCCATGTCAGATAAGGGTTAAGTCCGTCTTCTTAAGGAGACTAGGGTCTTCACCGCTGGGTACGTTTCACTTGGCTTTCTCGGAGCTCCTGGCCTCCCTGCTGACTGTAAGCAACAGTGTCTACCCTAAGATGCGCCTGCATTATCTGTCCCCTCAGGAACCGTGACATTTTCTGAGATGGTTTTAGGGGAAGGCGATAATTTGGGGTGTGCATGCCAGGGGTGCTTGTTAGAAAGGTCTTTTCTTGAGAACACAGTAAAAGAGCAACGTTTCTAGGAAGGGAAGTTTTCTGGTTTAAACATGTTACACCCTCCCCCGACTCCAACCTTTCCTCCCCACCTCCACCCCCACCCCCACCCAGACTCCCATCTCTCCTCATCCCACACACACAACTGTCTTAACTTGGAGATTGCAATTCAGATTTAATTAAGTAGAGAGAACTTCAACAGCAGATTTACAGGACCTGACAGCCAGGCTTAGCCTAGGTCTGAGCTATAAATAGCATGGCATGCGATAGGACTCATCTGAGATCACCACGGGAAAATGTAGCCAGGGACCTACGGCGTCTCCCAGATACCACTGTGCCCAGGTCCCTGCTCTCTCTCACAGAGCACAGGTGGGAGGGATCACAGACACACCAGGCAGGAGGGGCCCAGGCGGGCTGCCCCTGCAGGGGCTCTGGCTGACCCATGGCTTTGGGGGCCGACATGCCCCCAGGAGGGGCCCGCCTGCCCAAGCCACAGCCGGGAGCCAGCACAGATGCAGGCCACAGCGAGGGGAGACTGGAGAGGCTCATAACCACGGTGGCTGGGTGGGGCCCACAGGAATATTTTATGATGAAATTATTCAGCTGGAAAACACAGAAGCCCGTCTGCTTCATCGGAGCATCAAGAGCGAAAAGAAGGGACTGTTGGAAAGAAAGGGTTTCTCTTTCACAGAATCCTTTTTTAAAGGAGGGCTTCCCTTTTTTCTGATGCACTGTCAGAATCAGAAGCATTTCTTTTACCAAAATTAGCAGATGGCCGCAAGTTTGCTTCTAAAGCTAGAAATCCTACGTCACCAAACTAGCGCTCTGCCTGTTGTGTGTGTAATCACCGATCCCGATTCTGCTCCGGTTCCTCCTGTGGGGAACCCCAAGAAGAAAGCTGCACCGTCTCTGGGGTAACCAGAGGCCTATGTTGATCACCCCTGACTCCTGTCCAGGAAAATGCCACTGTCCGGCTTCCCACCTGCTTCCCTCACCAAACTCTTCAGGTTGGCACTGAAGGCCTTTGGCCCACAGCCTCCCCTCCTTTACTGAGTCCCATTCCTTGTGAACACCTCCCATACCTGCCAATCGTCCTGCCTTTGCCCATGCTGTTCCCTCTGCTTGAAACGCCCTTCCTCCCTTCTCAGTGAGTTCCTGTTTTCTGTTCTAGGCCTAACTCCCCGTAACAGTTCCTCAGTCCTCTTGGGTCCTTCGTCTCTCCTGCCCTGCACACTGGTTCTACCTCCTTGCCTTTGCCCGTGCTAGTACCCCCCTCAGGAACACCTCCTGACCTCCCCCCGCCCCCCAATCTCTTCTTTTCCAGGCTGGCTGAAGGCCCACCCCAACCAGGAGGCTTTGTTTAACTGGCCTTTGTCCTCACAAATCATTTCCTCACTTTATTTGGATACAGTGTGCAGGCATACTTGAATTTTCAGGCCCATCTTTGAGTCTTTTCTCCCCTAAAAGGTATAAAGTTTCTTGAGTCAGAGAACTAGTGTTTCTGTTACCCCTTACGTCACCGAGCACACGCTCACTAACCACTGCCACTGCCTACAAGGGCAGCCTGACTCAGGCTTCACTCTCTCCACAGGGAAACAGAGGGATGGGCCTGAAGCCCTTCCAGCTCAGGCACAACCAGGAGGTCCCTGCTGCTAGGAGTTGGCCCTGGATTTTGGAATCACAGCCTCTCAGGACTGGGAGTGTCCTCCAGAGCATTGCATTAAACCTCCAGCTGATTTTGGGGTCTCACTTTACCCTACCCCCTACCCCATCTTTCCTCGAGCAACCCTCATCTCTAGTCATCCTTCCCCAGAAGACAAAAAAAAAAAAAGACCCCTCTTCCCCCCCCCCCCCCCCCAACCATCTTGCTACTAGAAGACCTGAGCTGCATTAGTCCTGAGATAGGCACCAAGGGACACCCTGGAAGCTCAGCCTAGGCTGGGCGGGAGCCTGGGAGGCTACTGATAGCACAAGGGAACTGGAGGCTGTCAGTGCTCCCTCTGAAGCCAGCTCCCAGCGGGCCAACAGAGTTGAGATGGATGGGCTCCCTCAACAGTTCAGGGTGGCTGTCAACTCTGTGGAACCATAATCATCACAGTTCTTAGTTCGTATTGTTAGTTCTTTAAAAATAAAATAAAATAAAATTATATATATATATATATATATATATATATATATATTTTAATTGATTTTTTTACAGAGAGGAAGGGAAAGGATAGAGAGTTAGAAACATAGATGAGAAACATCTATCAGCTGCCTCCTGCACGCCCCCTATTGGGGATGTGCCCGCAACCAAGGTATATGCCTTCACCAGAATCGAACCCGGGACCCTTCAGTCCACAGGCCGACGTTCTATCCACTGAGCTAAATCCGTTTCTGCCTTATTGTTAGTTCTTATTTTATTTCAAATCGGGGCACTTCAGATAAACCAGGGCATTTCAGATAAACCAGGATACTGGTGCATTTTTTTTTTGTTTGTTTGTTTTATGGAGTTTCCTGGTCCTGCAGCTCTAGGAAAAAGTGGCAAGTGGCACATGTAATGACTGACTAGCCTCTAGGCTGCGATGGCTTGAAGAGCAAGAACCTGCGTCTTCAACACCAGGGGCCAATGGGGCTTTGACCAGTGTTTGCTGAAGGGACTAACTCCATCCGCAGTGTGTGTGGCTCAAGGTGATCTACGCGGATCACCTAGCCTGCCTTGTGCACACTCATCTCCAGACATTCACCTCGCCTGAGGTCCATCACCCGGCGCTTCCGTGTGAGGCTCTTTGTGTTTTACTGAGTGTTTCAAACAAAACAAACAACAGCCGCCTGGAAAGCAGGTCTGAATTTGATGAAAAACTCACTGGATCCACTGCTCTTTAGAAAACATATTTCAAAATTCAATCTCAGAGAGCAACTTTTTTTTTTTTTTTTTTAACTCATCATGCTGCCATCTTACCTGTAATAAAAATGACATAATTTGATTTTTCTTCTCCCTGCCTTGTCTCTAGCAAACATGTGGCTAAATATAATAATCAATTATGTTAACGTATTAGGCCTACTCCTTTTCTTGATTGTTTTTTCCTCCAATTTTCCTATAGCTTTATCAAACACTCTCTTTTTGGGAAACTATATCAAGTTCTTTTAACA